TGGAAGGGAAACAGTTTTAGAAGCAAATGCATGACCTTGAGCAATAGCTCATGCAGATTAGTTCTGTGTCAGAGACATCTGAGGAGAGAGGGTAAATAACCTTTGGTGGAATAGCTCCTTCATCACGTTGCACCAATAAGCTGTGATACTCTATCTAAACATAGAATATCACCCTGCCTGGTCTTTATTGTGCTTTAATCAGAAGATTCTAGTTTTTTTTATTTATTAGGGGATTGTAAACACTTCGTTTTGATTCAGAAAAGAGTCAGGTTCATAAAAGTAAGAATTTATTTGACCAACAATTAAATCATGACAAGTTAACTAAGCATTTACTGTGATGATGGAACTAGATGTGATGTATGAAAGCTATGTGTGAATGCGATGTTAGTCAGAACTTCCGTATCTAGGAGAGCTGAGTTCTGGATGTAGAAGAATTTGGTTAGTGTTAAGCTATGAAGTTGATTATTATCAAAACCACATCAGACGCTATCTGTGTGACCACATCACCCGTTTTCGGAGACCGTCTTGGTGGATCTGAAGGTCAGGGAGGCCGGATGACCTCTGGCACCGGAGGGCTGTAGAATACCGTGGCACCGTCCCTTCAGTCCAGAGATATCTCGGGTCACGACAGACGGATGGAACCGCGCGTCTCTGGTGGACTTCAGGAGTTTAAACAATATCAGCTCGTTCTGCAGGAACTGTTTGCTGCATCAGCTTTACAGGTGCAAAAAGATTTTGACGACGTGTCAAAAGCTTTGATGGTTAGTGCGGGTTTTGATTCAGGTGGCCGGTCTGAAGCTTTCTCTAGAACTGAGGAAAAACCCGAGTAATCTGGTTTTAATGTTCTCCTGTTATGACTGTGTAGCCAACCAGAGGTTGACAAGTTGGAGGAATATTACCAAGAATCTCAGAAACGCACCTTCTTTGATACCGGATGCTCTGATCTGGGTAAAAGACTATTCATGTGTCACGGGTTTAACTTTACCTCACTTTGTTCTTGTGCGAGTGCAAATGGTGGTGACCTTGTCAAGTAAACATGCAATCAATCGATGTAATCACAACATAACATTCATTTCAATCTTCAATCGTTGAGCACAGATTAATGAAAGCATTTCATTGTATTAATTATCATAAGTAGCAATAAACAAACATGTATTTACTGATTATCTAGCTTATACGTTTTAGAAGTTCATATTTAATTTTAAATCTTCTTTCTTCTGTGAAGCAAAGAGTCTTAGATAAAAGGGTGCTCTGTGAGGGACCTTGAGGGGAGAATGTTATTGTTGACATTTCATTATCTGTGTCAGAGCTGCAGGTTCTGAGCTCCAGCTGGTGTGATGGAAGCAGGCTGATTTAGAGGAGGCACATACAGTCTCGTGTCTCCTTTTTGACCAGATGTTGGATGGTCAAACAGTACCTAAAACTGACTATTGCTGGACGTTACACATGACACCAACAATATCTGCCACATGATAAAAATCAATCAATTTATAAATAATCCCACAAGTCATTGTCTTCTTTTTGAAGAAACACTACTGTTCTACCTCTCTACACATCACACACGGGAGAACTTGGTGTGTTTGCATTTCACACACTTGAACACAATGATTTGGTATTGCTGATATTAACTATGCCAGAATGATGTACAGCTCAGTCTGCCTTTCTAGATGGGTTTGACTTAAAAACACAAATACTATCGATCATCTCCATATTTAAGTATGCAAAACTGGGATTCATTTTCATGTAATCACTTGCATAGATGTGGATCGTCTGGCAGCTGCAGTTGCATCTCATTGTTCTGTGTTTTCATTTAATAGATATAAAACAAGCCTTTATAACGTAAATATAGATGCATATTTTAAATCAGTGCAAGGAAAAATAAGGAACAGCATCTCATAATAATGAAAATGTTTCTTGTTATATTGTGATAAAAATCCAATTTTACCCCAAAAACTCTTGTAGTGACATAAAAGCAACATATGTTGTGGCATTCGTCTCCAAATGAACAAGGCAGTGTTTCTAGTTCTGGATGTTTAACTTTTAATAATTACAGCAGTCGCAGTGCCACAACAGAGGCGGAACAGAACAACGGGTGCATCTCAAAAAATTCCTCTTGCTAGCTTTCTCTCTGCTGGCTTCTACACTCACAAACCTTTAAAGGCTCAAGCAGAGGACCCAAAAAGACAACCAGACCCGGGAAGACTTCAGACCAAGTCTTATTGACAGATCTGTGGATCCATGTGGAGCCATCCTTGGAAATAAACAAGAGCGGCACAGGTTCATGGGCAAATCCACGATGGATATCCTGAGGTCAGAGGTCAGTGAACAATCCAGACAGGGTGGGGTAATCTGAGGAGCAGAAACAAGGTCATGAACAGGGAAGCAGGCATGGAATAATTGCTGGACATTAATGACACGAGGATTTCAATAATCTGACCGAGGCTGGATGGGTGGGTGGGGCTTATATCGCAGTAGGAACGGGTGAGTGGCATGATCCTGATAGGCTTGGGCAGGCGTGGGTGATGTGGCTGATGAGGAGCAGGCTGTGGGTGACGTGGAGACGGGGCATGGGCGGAGCTGGGTCATGACACAGCTCGTTACCAAGATAACAGACTGACAGCTTTTCACACCGCGGAACTGGAGAAAAACGCCAAAAACATCTAAACATTCCCCCCACAAAGAGAAAATGTCTAATTTATTATTAATTCTAATGATCTTATTCTATTAATCTTATTGATTCTAATTTATTATCAGGACTTACTTTTATGTATCGTTCTATAAATGTTGACGTTGTTAAATGTGAAAAAGCACAAACAGGAAGTCAGCTTTTACTTTGAAAGCTGCACATCAGCTAGAAAGCATAAGTATGTCAAATTTCCACAGACGTCAAATCTGCGTGACGTGAGGGTTGTTTTGAAAATGGAGGACGGCTTGACCGAAATGTGGAGAACATGTTCCTCTGAAAACTTCTTAAAACGGCATAAAGGGGTTCACTCTGACTCCATCTTCTCCCTCTGTGCATTCTGGAAGATGTCCGCATTTGACTGCCATGAGCTGTTTTACTATTAAAATATATTTTAATCAAATTTAAAACAATCTTTCTTTTAATAAATGCTCCTTTATTTTTTCTTGCACTTACAGCAACATGCTTCCGTACTTCCACACCGTATAAAAACAATAAGACTGTTTTTCTTTTGCATTTTCAAAAGTATTAAGTGTCAGATTATAATGTAAATGAATAATAATATACACAATATTACTAATTTTAAGATAATAGTTATGTCAAATTTGAGGTATTATTCATTTTCAGTTTAATAACTGTCTCTATTTGTCTCTAATGCGTTTCCGCTTGGTGCGGTTTCCTACGGAGGACTTGACCTACAGTCACGCCTCTGGGCTTTAGGTATGCCCTTTATTTGAGGCTGATTGCACTCTTAAAAACATTAAATATGATTTACTCCATTTCTGTTCGTTAGGAGAGATAAAAGCACGTATTTAAACAGACAGTTTGATGTTGTTTTGCTCCTTTTTGTCCTTTTTCTGTGTTCATCGAGCTTTTAAACAGACAGGGATATGTTTGCTGTCCACTCCTGCTCGACCTAATTTCCCCGGAGGTTTGTTGACTGAAGCGCCCTAAATGATTAAAAAAAAAGAATTCCTGAAACGTGTGAAAGGTTAAACCAGCTCATAAAGACGCGTCTGTTTGCTTTCCTTGCTGTTGTTCAGGAGCGGTTTCTTAATCGTGTTTGAGCATCATTAAACACGACTCTGAAGGGGTAAAGGGCTCGCAAGTACATAACGCTCTTTTTACTTGTGGGCTTTTGAGGTGACTCAGCAGATCGTCAAGGAAAGTTTCAGAGAAAAAACAGGAAGTTTGATTACAAATAACACAAATACGTCATTACTGCTCTCATCTGTGTGTCAAAGGTGGTGTGAACTGTGTTGCTGTCACACGCTCACTTCTCAAAAACGTGTGTGAGCAGAGAAGAAGCCTGCATGGGATCTCTCTGTAGGACCCAGGTGGGTGGACAGGAAGTGCATTGCCACGTTGCAGCAGCAGCAGCAGCGGCTGCACACCCCTGTAAACTTTCTGCATGTTGTATTTTTGAGCTAACGGTCAGGATGTTCTGACCTCAACCACAGCTCGTTGGTGCCGCGCTCTCGCAGGACCGCGGGCCTCGGGTCCTGTGGAGGAAACAGCCTCGGAGCTGGCTCGCGTCGACACAGATCGGTTTCTGTTTTTCTCCTTTATGTACAGTGAAATGCACAGATGTGTCTCTGTGTGAGGACACTGAGCAAATCTTCAGATGTAACCGGAGTCGTGTCGTCTTGGTAGTACCAGATGTTTGGCTGAAACAAGTTTGCTTGCAGCGGTGAGAAAGACAGAGACAGGAAGCATGTTTGATGATGTGTGTGAGGGGGAAAACAGGAACAAGACATTGATTGAAAACAGAGATAAAAAATAAAACACACAGACAAGGTAGAAACGTGTTTTCCATCAGGCTGCTCGGATCTTTTATTTGATGTCCTTAATAGATGTCATCCGGTTTAGTCCCCCCCCACCACACATGCTATTCCCACATTACAGCCTCCTACCTCCATGTCTGCAGTGAGTCAGACATCTTATGTGAAACAGGTTTGTTTATGGACGCCTGCAGGTAGGGTTTAGAAGTAAATACCACGTTTAACAGACCTCAGCATGTCTCCCATCAAGGATAATTTGGGGGAATGAAGTTCCTGAAGCAGATTTATATGCTGGGATTGCTCCTGACATGAGCAGTTACAGTGAGCTTACCACTAAAGAAGTCACAAGGGAAGAAGGAAATCACACTTGTGTGTGTGCGTGGAGTAATAGAAAAAAATTGTTCGATTTCAATTCTGAAACAGCAGCTGGTGAGGCAGCCATCAAAAATAACCCGGTTTAGAGCACGGAAATATCACAGGGAAACAGCATCACAATGGAAAAGGTAACTGTATCTGAAACTGACTCAGAGAAACTGAGGACCTTACTAGGGCTGCAGCTATCGAATAGTTTTGTAATTGAGTACTCTATCGAATCTTTTATCGATTAATCGAGTACTCTAATAAATTACTCTTTTGCGTTTTTAAACCCTTATATCAAACAGCATGTTATAAAATATGAAAGACCTCTTGAAATGAGAAAGCAATTGCCAGTTGTTCTTCTTCAAGTTTTATTCAAAATTAGTTTTCAAAACTTCAGAACTTCAACGTTACTTCACAGTTAACAAATGCGAGCGGCTGCGGCCCAAACAGCACCAGAACCGCTCACGGCGCATGCGCAAACATGGCTCGCCAGCTGTTTCCCTATTAACACACGTCCGTTTGAATTTCTACACTTTTTTTTGTCTCACACCAACAAGGATTGTCGAAAGCATGTTTGCTGTGGTTAAGTCAAATTATACTGATCACAAAATATTTATTTACTTTCTATCGTTTTCCTCCGCCACTCATAAATACCCGTGTCCTCCTGCAGCGATCCTGAGGGACAACGGACATCAATAACAACACAGTAAAAAGTCCAACATGTTGTAAAAACTGCTATTTTTAGCACATTTGAAGTCCGACGTGTTGCTACCAGACGTACGGTGTGAGCTGAAAGTGAGTGCTACAAACGAAAAAGTCGCACAGTGTCAGCAGAATATATAGAAAAACAGGCTAAAATGCATTATCTTGTAGAGGCTCTGAGTCCGCTTGCAGAAGTGACATTTACAGGTGGATGTTTCCTGGTCAGGTGCTGCAGCTTGGAGGATGTGGTGTTGTGGTAGGCTAGATCCACTTTCAGTATTTACACTGGACTACGTTTTCCACCTTACGACGTGAAAAATGGTCCCACACCTTTGATTTTTTTTTTCGCACTCCACCGGGGTCCACGTTGTCCGCCATCAGGGATTCCCTAAGAAGAAGAAGAAAATATCATTTCTATAGCGCCTCTCAAGATAAAAATCACGAGGCGCTTTCCAAAAACAAAAGATGTAAAAATGTAAAAAAGCATTTAGAAAATGTTTAAAAATATATTTAAAATGAGCAAAAAGAGACAATTGTGATTATAAAAATGTTAAGAAAGAGAGAGAATAGGAAAAAGGGAAATCAGTGGTTCCTGAGGAAGGTGGAATAGGTGGGGAGAGCAGAATAAAGAGAGAGTGGTGAAGAAGGTCAGTGTGGAGCTGCCGCTAGGGGGTGCGCGAGGTGAAAAGTGTAATGGCTGCGGAGCTCAGTCTGTCATATGTCACCATTAGCATAGCCAGAAACTCATTTGTGGGTGAGCCGAAGAAAATGTAAGTGGGCCCAATAAATGTAATTGAAAACAAGTATATTTTGCGCGTGCGCGCGTGTCCTCCACATGTGCCCCAGCTTAGAGGGCTGCATCGGCATGGGCGTCGCACCCGGGGGGGATGTGGGGGATTCAACACCCACACTTTTCTTATTGAGATCGTTCAACTGACACCCTCAATTCTCCAGCCGTTTTGCTCACCTCCACACCAGTCTGGTTTCTCTACGTCGCACTCACTCTGTTTGCCTCATCTCCTTCTTCCCCTCCCGCTTCTGACAGCCGATGTCGGGTTTCAAGGAGAGCAGGAGAGGGAGGGACGGAAGAGCTCGACTGAATTCATAATTTTACATCTTGACATTAGCTGTACAAAGTCTGAGTTTGATAGTGAAGAACAACAATTTGCAGAGGTTTATAACAGGCGCGGCGCCAGGTTTTCATTTTTGGGTGGGCTACGGTATTTTTGGAGTGAAGCAGGCAGGTCGCGCTAGAAAATTTCGTTTAAAAAGACGTCATAAATGTGTTCCCCCGTCATTTTTATTTCTAAAATATGAAGTAAAAACTCACAATTTAATTTTCATTCATTTGTCATTAATATTTAGTCTACACCCGTGCGTTAAGTGGACCATCTTCCAGTAAAAGCAAAGCATCCAGCCCACCTCTCCAAATGCGTAAAATGTGCACCAGCCGCTAGTTAGGCGCGCCGCGCGCACCGTCAGCTACGTCAGCCCAGGCAAGAGCAGAGCAAATAGAGAAAGAATAGAGGATAATAATTCTTAAACAATTTCACCTCATGTAGGCTAGGAACATTTCACCTGCCGTGGCCCGACCGCTTCAGCTCCACATAAACTTTGTGCGTAATCAAATGTCTCTACAGGTGCTTTCTGAGCTGAAGAGGCTATTCTGCCTCAGACTGGATGTGTCATGCGTCTCCATATTAGAGACGGGAACAAGCGCTGTTCAGCCAAAGTTTCATAATCAGAGAACATTTTTCCAAGTGACACATCCCTCAGAGAGACCGGGTTTCCAGACTGCATGCGCCGTGGTTCTGCGCTGCGCTGCGAACCCCTCTACAGATCTTCAGCTCACTGTCCACCGTGTGCGCTCCGATCCGCGCTGAGCACAGTGTCCAGTATAAAGCTCTGATGTTCTGATGGGAATCATTTCTGGATTGATTTAGTTCCCTCCGCGATGTGCGTAACGATTAAAATGTCAGCTCGTCTGTGTGCGCATCAGTGTGCGTCGGAGTAATTCTTTCAAAACAACCAACATCCTTGAGTTTATCCGTCAAAATAAAAGTCAAATGGAAATATCTGTAACCTGCCATTTAACTGTTTTACCTTCCTGTGAAGATTGTTGCAAAGAGAAACAACTAAACGTGATTAACCCCAGAGCCATGCGCACTGCGCTGTACTCCGTGACTGTAAATGAGAGGGAAACTATTTAATCGGATCCTTTTCTTTTCAACATGGTTTAATGTAAAGTTTCATTCAGTACAAACTTTAGTTACACCAATCTAACGAGGCAGAGCCTGGATTTGTATTCTGAACAGTTTAAACATGTTTAAAATGGAGACGTGCGCGACGCGTCTAAAATTCGCACCTGCTCCGCTATTATGGAAATTAAACTAACAAGATGAGTAACATGGAATTATTTTAGACACAGACAACATCCCCCACACTTTTGAAAAGCTTACAACGTGCCTGTGCATCGGGATTGGGACCCAACACAAATCTTGCGGGGGCGGGCGGTGTGAACTTTGCTGCGGGCGGGAACGGTCGGCTAAAAGAAACAGTGCGGGATCGGGATGAGTATTATGGAGTCGGCAACTGATGTTGAAAAGAAGCTGAAACAAGGTCTTTGACACAAAAACCAAAGCAAGGCAAGTCAGACATTTGGAGGAGTTTCTCCGATCAGGTCTCTCTTAGAAAAGCGACCTCGATCACTGCCTGATTACAGAGGAGAATAGAATGTGAAACGGCCTTGATTTCATTACCCCTTTAAGCACCACACAGTAGCTCTTTTATGTATTTTTTAAGAATTTTAAGTAGCGAGGAGTTATTTGAAATCACCTGCACCGATGCGTCGCCGGTGATCCTGGTCATGCATCGGTGTTAAAGGGTTAAAAACTAAATGAAAACAAAGTGCGTCAATCCTGATCAATGTGTTAAAAGACGTGCAGGATCCGATCAATTTGTTTTTCCCTCATTTACAGTCATGGAAAAACAGTTAAAAGCAGGGCTTGTGTTGTGTTTACCGGACAGTTCCCGTATTTGACCGTTTATTTTGACGGAGAAAGAATAGAAAGAATTACCCCGACGCATGCAGACGAACTGACATTTTATTGGTTACGCACATCGCAGATGTAGCTAAATCACTCAAGAAAAGATTCCCATCTGAAGATCTGAGCTGGACACTGCTCAGCGCAGCTCGCTGTCAGCGTGTACGTACGGTGCACAGAGGGGGCTTGGAGCGCGTATCCGTTTGACACCTCTGAGCGTTTCCTCTGAACCCTTAGAAAACCGGGGGGGTTGAATGCTATAGAAGGAGGTCTGGAAATTGTTATTCCATAAATGAAGACTGACCAGGCAGCAGCCCCCAGGTTGTAACTCCTGCAGCCTGCAACGATAATCCCAGTCTGCAGGTCACGTGTTCAGAGATTAGCGGTGCTCTTTCACCTTGGATTAATTTCTTCAACGGGCAAGAAGATCAGCGGCTAGATAAAAATGAAACCACATGGCCTTCAGTAAACATAATGTCAGCATGTACATCTGTGTTTGTGCACCATGCTGAAGATTACACGTGAGCCAAACTCTCAGAAAAGTTGGGTTAACCTGACCAGATTCTGTCCCAGACTCTTCAGGCGACAGTAGACCAACGCTCCGGATGCTTAACCTGTCTACTTGGTCTTGTGTTTGGTTTGGACCGCTGACATTTCTCCTTTCCTTTCTTTGGTTTTTAGGTTAAACTGAATGAAAGCAGAACCCCCCGCCCCCCTCCACCACCCAGAACACTGAAGAACTAAGAGGTCTTAAGAAGGCAGAGGCCGAGTGGAGGAGTCAAGGAGGGAGGGATGGCAGAGACGATTAGCAGCTAATCCACTCCACGGAGGAGCTTTATCTTTCCTCCAGAACGATGCAGACAAAACAGTTGCTGGATTACAACATTCTACTTCATTGCCCTCTTCGAGAAGCGTGTCGGACTCTGGTTGCTTGAAGGGTTGGAGTTCTTTGGAGCAGAAGACCCAGTGGACTGAGAACAAAGGTGACAGGTTGTCCTGTGGGCAGCGTGGAGGTCGCACACATGGATAAACCTTATTCAGACGGAGACTTTGCTTGACTGGATTCCTGCTTTTTGTTCCTTTTCTCAACTTGTCCAACCAGGAGTCACCAGAGAAGAGGGTCAATGCACTGACAGACCTCACTGACAGTGAGTGCTGTTGGTTATTTGAGATAAAAAAATAAAAAATAAGTCAAATCACATTAAAAACCTTGATTTTCTGCTAGCAAACAGGACTTAAAGCTTTCACAGGTAAGAAGGTAAAAACACAAGGAACATCTTTAAGGCAGAACTCAAATCATGGCTTCAGTTCAACATTTAAATGTTGCATTCCACCTTAAAAATGTCTTCTTACGGTTTGTTGTAAAGGTCAAGCACAGTTGCTGCTTTATGGGATGTCCTGGTGAGGTGATCCTCTTACGAAACACAATGTCTAAAACAATAAAAAGAAGCTCTGCATGAACACCGCTGCTGAGCTATCCGAATTAAGAAAAGCTATAAGCTAAAATAAGCTAAAAGTAAATAAGTAAATAAGCTAAAAGCGTATTTACACTCGCGGTTGGAGTTTTGCGTCTGGGCAGCCTCTCACCGGACCAAATATACCCAGTGCCCCGTCAGCCCCAAAACGCTCCAACCACACGGACTGCGGTAACCAGAGGAAACCAAGCATGGCCTTGTAATTTATCCTCTTTGTTATTCTGTCATGATTGAAAGCTGCTGCTGTGCACTTGGAGAGAGTTGGGTCCTTTTGGAGAGGCATGCAGAGACGAGAGGCAGGCGTGTAAACAGACACATACAGAGCAGATGATAAAGAGAAACTGTGCTGGATGAGGAATGGGTTTCACTTTCTGATGGATCAACAACATTTTTGTGTTTTCTGTGGTTATTGTCCAGGCATTTGATTTATTTTTCTTCTTTCTCGTTTAGCAGTGGACCCGAACCTGGACTGACATGCTGTCAGAGTCCGGATTTGATTCATTTTAAAGGAAAAACACAAAGTTCTTCTTCCACAATGAGTCTGGGAAAGCTTCCAGGGATTAAAGGCCTTGTGTCGGGCTCTCAGGGGAAACGGCGCTTCAAGAGCGAGCTCTCCGTGGATATGATCAGCCCGCCGCTGGCTGACTTCCGACACACCATGCACGTCGGACGTGGAGGGGACGTGTTTGGCGACACTTCCTTCCTGAGCAACTATGGGGGTGTCAAGGAACCAGGAAGTCCAGACTCAGCGAGCAGCTCCAAGTCAACCGGTTTCTTCACGCGCACCTTTCGGCACGTGCGGCGGACGTCTGGTCCCAGGACCCGAGCTGGTTCCCGAGACTTGTCATCCCCTCCTCCAGACATCTCACCCATCATTAAAAATGCCATCTCTTTGCCTCAGCTGAACGTAGACTCCGTGAATGGATGCCTCCAGGGGGCGCTGTTCCCAAACTCCATCAGCTCAGTGGACGATTCCTTCTGCGCCTATGGTGAGATAATACAGATAATCAGTCCCAGTGTGGGATTCATGCAAAGCACCTTAGGAGGGAGATTATGTTCATTAAAAGGAAGTGATCTCACTCTGACATGATGGTCTGAGCACATGATGAATCGTGATGAAGATGAAGATAGACGAAGCTTAGTACTGAAGCAAACACCACATATTTGCCGTTCATCTAAAAGGTTTTACACACACCAGTTAGGCTGCACAGATGATAAAATAGGTCTATTTTGCTTTTATTGAACCAGATATTCTTGTAGCAATTTAAAATGGTCCTGGTCAGCCGTAGACGTAGTTTTGACTTTAGAAATTAGGGGGGACACAACCGGCAGGGGGTTGTCTTTACGGTAAGTATACAAAATTATGTATAAAACTACAGCCTAGAGGGTCTTTTATGCAGTGTCAGAAATGCAGAACTGTGAAGTACACAGGTGGCAGTAAAACAAAAACAAAAAAGTAATACTTTCAGTTCTACTTTGTTTTCACCTTGTTAGTCATTTTCATTCCAACTTATTGTCACCATTTTACACTTATTTTTTGAATATCTGTTCAATAGAGCTCATTTACATCAGATTCTAGCTGAACTCTTGGTCCTAGTGCTCAACCAGTCTATTTAATATAGCGTAAATATTGTTTTGGACGGTAAAAAGATCAGGGCCCATGTGACCAGCCATAACGAACACCATGTTCGAACATAAGGATGCCCACCGGTACACTTGGTACCAGGGCAGCCTGGGTCACAGGTTGATGATAGATTTTGTAGTCGTATCATCTGACCTGCGGCCGTATGTTTTGGACACCCGAGTGAAGAGAGGGGCGGAGCTGTCAACTGATCACCACCTGGTGGTGAGTTGGATCAGATGGCAAGGGAACATGCCGCGTAGACCTGGCAGACCCAAACGCATAGTGAGGGTCTGCTGGGAACGCCTGGCAGAAGAACCTGTCAAGACGGTCTTCAACTCCCACCTCCGGCAGAGCTTTGACCACGTCCCGAGAGCAGTGGGGGACATTGAGTCAGAGTGGGCCTTGTTCCACTCTGCGATTGTCGAGGCGGCTGTTGCTAGCTGTGGTCGTAAGGTGGCCGGTGCCAGTCGTGGTGGCAACCCCCGTACCCGCTGGTGGACACCAGAGGTTCGGGGAGCCGTCAGGCTGAAGAAGGAGGCCTACAGGGCGTGGCTGGTCTGTGGGTCTCCGGAGGCAGCAGACAGGTACCGGATAGCCAAGCGGGGTGCAGCAGTGGCAGTTGCCGAGGCAAAATCTCGGGCGTGGGAGGAGTTTGGTGAGGCCATGGAGAAAGACTATCGATCGGCTCCAAAGAGGTTCTGGCAAACTGTCCGGCGCCTCAGGAGAGGAAGGCAGCAACTCGTTCACACTGTTTACAGTGGGGATGGGGAGCTGCTGACGTCAACTGAGGCTATAGTCGGACGGTGGAAGGAATACTTTGAGGAGCTCCTCAATCCCACCAATGCGCATTCCGAGGAGGAACCAGAGCTGGGAGGCCTGGGGATGGACTGTCCGATCTCGGGGGCAGAAGTTGCTGAGGTAGTCAAACAACTACACAGCGGCGGAGCCCCGGGGGCGGATGAGGTTCGTCCTGGGTATCTCAAGGCTATGGATGTTGTAGGGCTGTCATGGTTGACACGTCTCTGCAACATTGCGTGGTCATCGGGGGCAGTTCCTAGGGAGTGGCAGACCGGGGTGGTGGTCCCCATCTTTAAGAAGGGTGACCTGAGGGTGTGTTCCAACTATAGGGGGATCACACTCCTCAGCCTCCCTGGAAAGGTCTACTCCAAGGTACTGGAGAGGAGGGTCCGATCGATAGTTGAATCTCAGATTGAGGAGGAGCAATGTGGTTTTCGTCCTGGCCGTGGAACTGTGGACCAGCTCTATACCCTTGCAAGGGTGATGGAGGGGGCATGGGAGTTTGCCCAACCAATCCACATGTGCTTTGTGGATTTGGAGAAGGCTCATGACCGTGTCCCCAGGGGCACCCTGTGGGGGACGCTCCAGGAGTATGGGGTGGGTGGCTTTCTGTTAAGGGCCATTCAGTCCCTTTACCAGAGGAGCGTGAGTTTGGTCCGCATAGCCGGTAGTAAGTCGGACCTGTTCCCAGTGAGGGTTGGACTCCGCCAGGGCTGCCCTTTGTCACCGGTTCTGTTCATCACTTTTATGGACAGAATTTCTAGGCGCAGCCGTGGTGTGGAGTGTGTCGAGTTTGGTGGCAGGAGAATCTCGTCTCTGCTTTTTGCGGATGATGTGGTCCTCCTAGCTTCATCCAGCTCTGACCTTCAGCTCTTGCTGGGTAGGTTCATGGCCGAGTGTGAAGCGGCTGGGATGAGGATCAGCACCTCCAAATCTGAGACCATGGTTCTCGACCGGAAAAGGGTGGCTTGCCACCTCCGGGTCGGGGGAGAGGTCCTACCTCAAGTGGAGGAGTTTAAGTATCTCGGGGTCTTGTTCACGAGTGAGGGTAGGAGGGATCGGGAGATCGACAGGCGGATTGGTTCGGCGTCTGCAGTGATGCGGACGCTGAGCCGATCTGTCGTGGGGAAGATGGAGCTGAGCCAGAAAGCCAGGCTCTCGATTTACCGGTCGATCTACGTCCCAATCCTCACCTATGGTCATGAGCTTTGGGTAATGACCGAAAGAACGAGATCGCGGATACAAGCGGCCGAAATGAGTTTCCTCCGTAGGGTGGCCGGGCTCAGCCTTAGAGATAGGGTGAGGAGCTCGGACATTCGGGAGGGACTCGGAGTAGAACCGCTGCTCCTCCGGATCGAAAGGAGCCAGTTGAGGTGGTTTGGGCATCTGGTCAGGATGCCTCCTGGACGCCTCCCCGGGGAGGTGTTTCGGGCATGTCCTGCCGACAGAAGGCCCCCGGGTCGACCCAGGACACGTTGGAGAGGTTACATCTCCAATCTGGTCCGGGAACGCCTTGGGGTCCTGCCGGAGGAGCTGGTGGACAAGGCTGGGGAGAGGACGGCCTGGAGCTCCCAAATTGGGATGCTGCCCCCGCGACCCGGACCCGGATAAGCGGAGGAAGACGACGACGACGACGGCAAAAAATAGACAATTGTGATTAAAAATGTAAAGAAGGAGAGAGAGTGAATAGGAAATAGGGAGTGGATCCTGAGGAAGAAGAGAGAGAGGAAAAAACAAAAAACCCGACTGGATCGGAGGCAGTGACCGACTCAGCACGAGCCGTTTTCAGCTCTATCTTGTCAAATGCACCACGTACGTTACGAAAAAAGTAACTTTAAATAACTTTAAAGTAACTTTAAAAAGAAGCAAACTGAAGAAAACATAAGGATTACTGAAGAAACGTGAACAGTGAAGCAAGCACAGAGAGATCCGTTAGTGTGTGTGTGTGTGTGTGTGTGTGTGTGTGTGTGTGTGTGTGTGTGTGTGTGTGTGTGTGTGTGTATCTGCTCTGTCTTCTCGATCCCCAGTGAGTCGTGGAGGATGGCTGCTTATACTGAGCCTGGATCATCTGGAGGTTTCTTCCTGTTAAAAGGAAGTTTTCCTCTCCACTGTCGCTATATGCTTGCTTAGTATGGGGATTGCTGTAAAGTCACTGACACTAGTCAGTGACTTGATGCAATTTGCTGTGTTCCTTATATGGGAAACATTTTTTCTGATTGGCTTAATGAACTGACCTGAATTGGAATGATTATTATGTGAAGTGCCTTGAGACGACTCTTGTCGTGATTTGGCGCTATATAAATAAAATTGAATTGAATTGAATTCTTTTCGACTTGCTGTGTGTGACTCGTCTTCCCTCCTCATCTAGACTCTTCTGGCACTCATCCATAACTGGCAACCATATCTGAGATTGGACTTGTTTGTTTTGATACACGGACCGCAGTACCCAACTTTGACCACAGGATGTCATTCTTACTTTTTGCACCTTTAAGTGAAACCAGCAAATTTGGCTTCTCTGAAAATGTTCGTGATGGATTAAAGAGTGAGTGGAAAAATTGACCAAAGTCCCACAAATTTTATGAAATTCAGAAAACACGAATAACTTTTGATACAGATAAGACTAGATTGGATAAAATGAGGAATGACTCAACACTTTTATGAGTGTCTGGTAGGATTGTCGTTGGACTTTAGTACTCAGTCTCAGGGCCTCCTATCAGCAGCACTTTTCTCTTTCTTTGTCACATTCCGGGAAAGTCAATGTTCCAGAAAAGTGAAGCTAATAATTCAAATGTCAGAAAAGGGTTAACAAATACATTTGTGTCTCCTGCTAATTCAGTAAACACATACAAAAATATTTTTTTATTCTGTGAAATGTGCACTTAGTGTGTCACTTAAAAGAATGATCATGAAACTGATTGATGACGAAACAACTTAGTTCAGGAAAGCATTACATCACCGTGTCCTCTACTGTTTGTGGATTTGGTGCAAACAGGACTATAAATGTCCGCAGATACATAATCACATAGAGACACGCTTTTCTTTTTTACAGCCTTTCGCATTTTCCTCCAAAATTACCAGCAAACAATCAGCCTTCTTCTGAGTCATCAGGAATCACCATGGCAACACCTGTACACAGAGAAGCCTGTAAACACAAACTCCCACAGCTGCTTTGACGAGCAGAGAGAAACTTAGTTTCTGTGTGTGTCTGCCTGAATGAGCAGGCACAAACTCATCTGCTCACCAATCACAGGCTGTCAGACAGCTGTGTGTGGAATTCCCCCATCGGATTCATTATCCAACACAAAAGGAATTTTCCAACTTGGACTGATTTAGAGCTGGCACAGTGAATCAGGGAACTTGGGAATGTGCTTTTATTTACCTCATGGCTTCATTACACAGATTATTGTGTACAACACTGGTTAATGACACAGTTTTATAAGTGTTGCATTTACATTTTATACACATGTTTATCAATAATTACCCACATGAATCCTATTTAATTTGATTGCTGAGCATAAACCAGAAACCTCAGACTTCCAGAATCTAAAGTCAGAATCATTCGGTTAAAGCAGGCGTGGGGAACCTTGGTCCTCAAGAGCCGGTATCCTGCACGTCTTTGCTCCAACGCTTCTGATTCAGCGGTGGTTGATTCTCCAGTTCAGCAGCTCATCAAGCTCTGCAGAAGCCTGTTAATCACCTGCTGATTGAAATCAGGTGTGTTGAAGCAGGGTTGAAAGTAAAATATGCTAGATACCGAACCTCGGTGGACCAGGGTTCCCCACCCCTGGGTTTAAGCCACTCTTTGGCTAACAAACACTACCCCCTGCTGGTGAAACAGTTCTTTACAGGAGAAACTCCAACTCTAAAAAAAATTCTGACACTAGAAATGCTTAAAATTGTTTTAAATAGTAAAAACTTTACAGTCAGTTTTTTGTACACCTGCTAAATTGTTTATCAACAAAAATCAGCCAATCACATTGCAGCAACTCAGTGATGAGATGGGATACAGACAGCCTGCTGAAGTTAAAACTGACCAACAGAAGGGAGAAGAGAGGACATTTAGAGACTTTGATTGTGGCATGGTTGTTGGTACCAGACAGGCTGGTTTAGGTATTCAAGAACCTTCTGATCTACTGGGATTTTCACCCACAACTATCTTTATGGTTTATAGAGAATGTTCTGAAAAACAAAAATATTCAGTGAGTCTCAGTTGTTGAAGTTAGATGAGAATGATCCGACTGGTTCTGGATGAAAGAAAGATACCAGTAGCTCAGATGAGCACTGGCTCTTTCCAAGGTTTGCAGAACAGCATCTCCGAACCACTCCAGCTTTGCCCGATGGACTCCAGCAGCAGAAGACCACATCAGGTGTCTCTCCTGTAAGATAAGAACAGGAAGCTGATTTTACAAGGATCACCAGAACTGGACCGGAAGAAACTGGAAAACCGTTTCATGGTCTGATGGTCGGGTCCGAATTTGGTGTCACCAACTTCCTGCCTTGTATGCTTCAGGCTACTGCTGGTGGTGATGATGGAGGGGGATGTTCTTGTCCCGCTTTGGACCCCTTAGTCCCACCTGAACCTGGTTTAAACACCACAGCCTACCTGAGTATTGTTGCTGACCATGTCCATCCATTTATTAACAGTGGACCCAACTTATTTATGCATGCAACATGTCTCTAATCTCAGATCATCTCTAGCTGGTTTCTAGAACATGACCAACGGAGACAGTAATCTTTGCCTCTGTTACTTCCCATCTGGATTACTGGATTACATTCTAGTGTTACACAGGAAGCAGCTTTGGTCGCCTCCAGCTGGTGGAAAATGCTGATGCCCATTTTTTAACAGAAACTACAAATCAAGTGCACATGATCACAGCTCTGGTTTTGTTTCTGCAGCAGCCTCTTCATGTTACAGGGTATCCGCGGATTCTTAAAAAGTCTTAAATTGGCTTTTCCAAATTTAAGGCCCTAAAAATCCTTAAAAATGACAAATAATCCTTAAATACCGTTTCCAAAGGTCTTAAATTACCAAAGACCCAATAAACAAGATTCTTTTATTTCTATAAAATTTTCGTGAATTTCTAGTTGGTGTTCAACATTTTTTGTATATATATTGGCGTAAGCGGAACCGTATACATTCATTTGGTTGTGAAAGGGGGCTGTTTTATACGAGCACATTAACTGGTTAAGCTAGTGGGAGCCTGCGCCATGGGGAAGTGTAAGCTTAATGGTAAATGGATGGCTAATCTCCACGTTCGCGATGTGGTTAGCACCGGTTCCAGGCAATAGCTGGAAATTATAGCTTACATTTAATTTTTAAAATAGCTTAAATTTGGTCAAAGTGGCCTTAAAAAAGGTCTTAAAAAGTCTTAAATTTGGCTCCCTTAAACCTGCAGATACCCTGTGTTAGTATTTGTTTAAAATTAGAGGTTATTTTTTTAAATTTTCAACCATTAGAGCATGAAATGTTATCTCTGTGGTTTGTTTTGCCTTTGCAGGACAAACAGGCTGTTTTATGACCTAATCTTGAGGTCCCTCTGACATCTTAAACATGCATGTTTTAGGTCATGGGTCTTCTCTTGCTTCTTATGCTCTGTTTTTTATCTTCTGCACTTAGGTCCATTCTACAGTGGGTTTTAGTGCTTTAGAAATAACGTGGTATGGGATGTGGTGCAACAGGAGATTCCCATCATGGGCAGCAATCAAGTCTGGAGCAACTGTTGATGCTGCCATGTCAACATGGAGCAGAACCTCTGGGGAATGCATCAAACATCTTACTGACTTTCAGATCAAACCCGTTCAACTCGTGCTCTCAGATACACCACAGCGATTTGTCTTGCTGTAATTCTCATTATTTGAACGATCTGAGTTTCGTTTTCTGTTCCCAGGTGTCCAGTCTGGATTTGTCACCCTGCCTCGATTCTCCAGACTTGAGAGAGAGTTCCAAGATGGAGACAGCTGGAGAAGGTCTTCTCTGACTCGCTCAGATTCCCTCACTTCATTCACCGTCGACCTCGGCCCGTCTCTCATGACCGAAGTGTTGAGCTTGATTGACAACCCCGGCTCCCTTCGAGTGTCCAACCACAGCCAGGCTGCAGGTGAGGAAGAGGAAAAAGATGAAGACAGCTCATTCATGGAGACACCTGTGCAGACCCCTACCGTGACTTCACCCAACCCTTCCATGTGCAGCGAGTCACTCAGTCACAACATGAATGGAAGACAGAGTTATAATCAGACAGGGACAGAGGACGGGAGGATTACGAGGACACGGGACATGTCTTCTGGGTTTTCTCACAGAGAGGAGCCAGTAATGGAGGCAGAGCGGTTCCATAAAGCAGCTGATGTTCTGGCTCGTCACTACGGTGGAGGCTCCTTCTCAAGAGGAACGAGGACGAGCAGCAAAGTGGCATCGCCGGCTCTTTACAGGAATCACAAAAAATCATACGCCTTCTCCGAGGACGAGGAGGAGGAGGAGATCAAAGTTTAGATTTCAGGACTCAGAAACCCATCGATACATGTAAAACAGAGATGAACAATAATCCTGTTGAAACATGAATTATTATTTATGTTATCTAACAAACACACAGATCTTTTTTCTACTTTTTAAATAGATTTATTATTTCTAACCTGATGCAATTATGATGCTCAGCAAACTCTCGGCTGTTTACTTAAACGTTTAAACATATAAAAACTATATTTGTGAGTTCATCATTTACTCAGAATCATTATGTTAATACATTATTTTACACGCCTATAAATAATCTAACTCGTGTTTTATGCTGTGTACATTTGTAATATTTATCTGAAGACTTTGTGATAACTTCCTGTAAAAAGTGTAATGTTCAACTACTTAGACTACATTACACGGTAGTGTTAGAATTGATGTTCACCTCCTCTGGTTACCTGCACCCTGATTAAAACAGTATTATTTAACCATCCGTCCTTTATCCTAACTGCTTCACCCCTAAGTAGGTTCGTTCCAAGTTGGTAGCCTTGTAGCGAGACGGTTGCAGGTTTAAATCCTGGCTGCAGCCTTTCTATGTAGAGTTGGCATCATGGACGTAATTTTGGGGGGGGGGGGACAGGGGGGACATGTCCCCCCCACTTTTTCCAAATTCAAGTTTTGACCCCTGCACTTTTTACCATCCAAAAACAATATTACACTATATTAAATTGACACTGGTTGAGCTCTAGGACCAAGCGGAAAACAACCGTTTGTGTTGAAGCCTGTTTCCCATTAGAGCATACTGTAAAGATACCCCCCCCCCCCCCCCCTTGTGTCCCCCCCACTTCTAAAGTGAAAATTACGTCCATGGTTGGCATGTTCTATTCATGCATTGGTGAGTTGCTACTCTGGTTTCCTCTCACAGACCAAAAACACATTTGTTAGGTTAACTGGAGGCTGTAAACTGTACTCTGTAGGTGTCAGTGAGCGTGTGACTGATTGTGTGTTACGTGTCCCTACGATGGACTGTAGACCTGTCCTTGGGGTCCCCGGCTCTTACCGGATGGCTGCTGGAGTTAGACACCATCTCCCTGCTAGGGAGGAGAAGCGATTCAGAAAAAGAGCCAGAGGGGGAGTGAATTTTGAGGGCCTGTTATTTAATAAGACATTAAATAGAAAATTGTATTTAGTCTTTTGAAGGTTCGTTGTTAGTTGATGCTCTTTTTTATTTGACCTGCTTTTACTTGTGGGCCATTCCCATCTGTACCGGGTCGGCCCGGGCCGGGTCGCGTAGGTTGTTTACATATCTGGGTGGCCTGGTACTTTTCCGGGCCAACCAAGGCTCATTCTCAGCCCTCTTCTCGAGGGGGTCTGCTTCAGGCCGACCAGGGCCAACACACCCACTGCTGACAGCAAATTCACACCTTCCATTAGAGCAAGCCTCTGATTGGTGGGTAGAATCAGCCCACATGGACTTAAGGCAAGGATGTGTGGAATCAACCGGGCCAGGCTGGGGCCGACTGGGGCTACCCGGCCCGGGCCGACCCGGTACAGATGGTAATGGCCCATTAGAGTCACGTGATGTCAAGGAAACAGCTCTAACAGCAGGAGGAGTTTTACACTGTAACCCCGAATAAGTTCACTGAACTCAAAATGTATGAGGAAACTGATTGCCTAATAATGTTTAAGTTAACTCATCTAAAAACTATAAGTTTACCATAACGTTAAAAATACGACCTGAATAAAATTAAAGCATGTAACTACCTCCAACCTATAACTTAGCACTCAAGCAATTTACAAAGTTTAATTTCACTAAACTTGCTTATTTTATTTAATTTGAACTTTATTACATGTTTTAACTAACTTAAATATAACTTGTATGAACTCTAAATGGATCTATTAAACCCTGACCCAATTAAGTTGAATTTACTTAAAAATGACAATGTGACAGGCAGATCATGACTCACACACCCATAAATGCTAACAGCCAATGAAAGTGGATCACTCAAAGTCAAGTCAAGAGTATCTGACGTCAGTTTTTATTATCAACTTAGAAATTTTTTTTAGAAACTCCTGTTTGGTTTTAATGTTGAAAATTCGCCCTTTAATTGTTAACCTTTTAGTCTTGATTTTTTTGGCATTATTTTAATAATGCTCTCTGTCTGTTTGCACTTGTTTTTAGAACCTTTTATAACATTGAAACCCATTTTAACTCCACTGTCGCATTTCTTATTTTGCCCCCTCCTTCACATTTTAACACCTCTTGTCGGGGGCGTAACATTGGCCTGGGAAACATGACATTGATCAACATCTTTGGAGAGAGTCCTGCTGATATGCAGGACGTCCTGCAGATTGTTGTTCAGGCTTTCATGAGGATGAAGAAAGTTAGTTTTTCTCCGAGTTGTGTGTTTGTTCACCAGAACGCTACAGACGTAACAGCTGCAGAAAAAAAACATGGATGGAAAAAGACACTTAAAAGAAAAACTGGACAAAAGGGCTCAACTCGTTGCCAAGGAGGAGGTTTGTGATGCTGAATGCTTCAGTGATGTCATTGCTTTTGATGTGAAAAAATATGTGAAATACTTTTCTCAGCTTTGGGAGGGAAGTCCACCAATGGCTCCTCCTAATCCAGGTTACAGTGAATGTGTTCAAGACCTGAACAACTTCCTCCTGTCCAAGGCTTCAAAGTCTTCTGGAATCACTCCGTCTCAGTTCAACAGCAAGATTAAGTACCTGTGGAATGCCTTGATGAATGAAAACTTTGTTTTTAGCTTTCAAAACACCCAAGAAATCGCAGTTTACAGGCAACTTGAGATCCAGTATGGGAATTGGACCTGGGCTCTGAAGAGTGAGATGCTGACCATTGAAAACCAACTTTATCTTAGTATCGAGAAGGGACAACATGACCATGTGGAGCTCAGAGAAATGAACAAAACATATGAAGAAACAAAAAGGAAAACATGAGTTTATTCTGAGGAAGACACAGAGAAAGATACCTTGGTTCAATGGTGGAACCATCGACATTAGGGTGGAACACACTTGAAGTAAGAATCAACAATTTCTGTGAGGATCTCATAAGAGAAGTGAAAAGACCTGGATGAAATCATCCAGCAGAAGAAAGCCGGAAAAAAACTTGATGCTAAGAAGGCAGAATTTGAGAATTAATTGCTGCAAAGAGCAAAGAGCTGGCTCACACATTAAAATGTCTTGCTGATGAGGGGAAGGAACTGAAAATCAGCTTGATGTTGTTTGGACTCACTGGGTTAAAGAATTAACTTCATGTACAAAACCCATCGAGGACATCAAGTTGGAAGAAGATCAGTCTGTTGTCCTTCAGGACCTTGGTATTGAGTGTTCTCTCATTGAAGAGTCAAAAAGAACTCAGAATTACAAAAAGCTGCCAAAAGCAGGTGATTATTCTCATTACATAACAAAGAAGAGATGAGATGTTTTGAAATTTATGAAAATGTCTAAATTACCACATGAAGAAACAGAAGATCAGATCATTCATTAATGATGTTGAACGTGAGTGTCTGAAGATGATTAAGAGCAAACCCGTAGCAACAAGAGGATTCAGCTCAACCTACGTACTTACAAGAAGCGGCCAACCATGTTAAAAAGAAATGTGCAGAGTTTGAATCACAGAAGAACTACCAAATCAGGAAAGACTTCACAGTTGATCTCTTACTGTATGTTTTTGACAGCATGGCAGGTTGGAATTTAGAGTCTCATAAGACTTGCATATCAAAAAGTAACACCTGGAAAATTGTTAAACTTAGATGGCAGGACAAGGTGGATTGGTGGTTAGTGTTGTCATCTTGGCTATTCTAGTCCGGTATCTTATGGTAAACTATTGTTGCTTGCTTGCTTCGGACGAATCAGCACGGATTGGGATAGATTAACGTCCATTAATTGGGATTCTGAGAGTTTGAGGACCAACAAACTGTACAACAGAGAGGAAGTTATCTCTGTCTGGCCCCAAAACAATTTCTAATCGGAATCTGGCGTCCTTGAGCCTGCAAGGCTCCAACGAAAACTCCCCCCTCAGAAGATATGTGGAATGTGCCGTCACTATGGCAACTCAACTCTACCTCCTTTCCCAGCCTGGGCGGGACTGCGGGAAGGCCACCGAAGCGTCCAGGGTCACCGCAACCCTCCAACCCTAAATGCTCCTCCCCCTATCCACACTGAGGTGACATGCGTTGCTTCATCGTCGCTGCAGGAACTGAAGTGGGGATAGTCCCAACCCACCACCCCACCTAGTGGACACTTATGATGTGTTGTCCGAAGTCTGTTGCATATCTGTCTGAGGTGGTTTTTTTTTTTTTTTTTTTGCAGAGCAAAGCTGCTCTCCTGCTGGAGGGTAGTTCTGAAGTGCCTTTTTTCCCTCCACCTGAACCAATCCTCATGTAACCCTCTTAACTCTATTAAGGTAGCGCGACTCAGGGTTGCGAATGACCACAGTCACCAATTCTTGTCATGTGTCTTGCCCATGTATGTCTGATCTCTGAATTGTGTGTACTGAAACTCTAATTTCCCTCTGGGGTTAATAAAGTATCTTTGATTTTTACAGGAAAAAAAAGTTCTCAAACAAAGATTAGCAACAATTCATTCACAACAAAGCTTAATTGTTTTAATTTTGAAGATTGCCCAGAACATGACATAATTTAACACAGTCATGCAGATATCACCTATACGCATTTGCAACTTTTTACAACACATGCATTTAGAGCTACTTATCATAAGGATTACGTGTCATCCATTAACTGGATGTTTCTCTTGTTTTGTCTTTATGAACAGCGTGCATTACAACAGCTGCATCTCTTAGCAGATCTTGAAGCTGGTCAGTTTGAAATCTCCCATCACTCGGACGTACGTGATGACGTCCATCCCGACACGGTTGGGAAACTGGACTTCCTTTCCATCAGGAAGTTCCACCTCAAACACGTCTCCAGACAGTTTCAGCTCAATCTAAAAGAGAAACATAAATATTTCACACAAGATGGGTAAGTGTATTTTACTAATTCACCGCATCATGAGCCAAACTTTCTCACCTTTACATCACTGCCCCTCTGTAGAGGGTTGTCTATCTCCCGTTTCTCGTCGCCCCAACAGCCATCAATCTTTGAGTTGCACACAAGGACAGCTCCGTCTGCATCGTCATGGAAACGGGGGTTAAAGTGCAACGCCAGGTCATCTGAGTCAACGCCAAGGTCGATCTGGAATCTGAAGGAAATGGATCAGAGATCGTATTAATTTAACACGAGACAAAATGGTGAAAACATTTTTCTAACAAATATGTGACAATAGTCTTAATTCTTTAAAACTTTCTAAAATTTTCCACACTTTTTATTATTTTATTTGTTTTGTTCGGTTTGTCTAAAATGGCCCGTTGTAGCGCTGCCTTTAATGAGGATTAGGAATCATTTTATTTTGACAAACTAAACAGGAAGCGGTTGTTTCAGCTCATGGTTCTGATTTCTCATTGGTTGATGTTGAAGAAGCTTCCAGTTAAGATTAAAGACAATAGAGTTTTATCTGAACTACCAATAGTTAAGATTAATTTTTGTATCAGCTGATTCTGTGAACTCCAATGAGCTCGTCCATCTTTGATTATTACGTTTGTTTGCAGTAAAAGTAGATTAAAGATCCACTGAAAACATCCAAGAAGAAGTCTTTTGTCATGGGCTGAGCTAACCTCTCTGAGGCCCTGTCCACACGTAGCCGGGGATCTGCCAAAACGTAGATATTTTTCTACGTTTTAGCCTGTCATCCACACGAAAACGAATCTTTTTAAAAACTCCGGCCAAAGTGAAGATCTGCGTTTTCTCCGTTTTGGGTGTCTGCGTGTGGACAGACAAAACCAGAGTTTTAAGGTCCGCAACGTCACTTTCCGCGACAAAAAAATGCTGACATCACGTGTGCGACCTGTGTTTACACTAGCCGACAGCATGGATGCCCTCAGAGCTGCGCTCGCTTTATCAATTGTCCAAGCGCTTTTTGCTTTTGCAAGCTGAATTACTGCTCCTTGCGGAAGACCACAGACGAAGGACGAGGTTAAGAATGGGGGAAGTACTGCCGCCTACAGGTCTGGCATGTCCTTAACAACGTATTTATCCGGGTATGTGTGGACAGAGTTTTTTTTTTTAAACAAGGTGGTGTGGATGCAAGTTTTTGGAGGGGCGGATATTCGTTTTTAAAAAACCCCGGCTACGTGTGGACTAGGCCCGAGTCTTTCTGTTTGCAGGTGGGTGTGTCCCAGAGAGCAGCTGCTGTGAATCTTCTCATCAGAGGTCAGCGGATTTAAGGAGCGGCGTGACAACTCACCAGTGCCGGATGATTACGCTGTATTAGGTAGTATCTCGCCTTTACTCTGCCTGTCGCTGACTTGTTGTCTCCTGTGTTCCCTGCTTGCCTCGTACTTACCTGCCCTGTTCCTCCAACTCCCCCCAGGTGCCTCTCGTTCATTTGACTGCACTCCTCTTCAAGAAAGAAACTCCCGGAATCATCCTGCCAGCCACGCCGCTCACCCTGACCGCCTGCTCTCCAACGCCCACCTGCCCTGCTCGGATACTTTGGATTCCTGCGCTCAGCTCCCAGCCATCATCTCAGCCCCTCACAACCATCTCGCTCAGCCAGACCTGACTCGCCTTCCTCTCCAGCTCCCCAAACGCTCTGGAAACCGTAAGCCTCCTCTCACCCCGTTTATTGGTATTTTTCTGCAACCATTCATCTTTGTCTCTGCTACAGAACGCTATTGGACCCTCCCGAACCCCCTGACCTTCACCTGCACTTCTACCAAACAAAATAAATACTTTTTACTTTGCCTCAGTGGTGATTCTACATGTCGTGGGTCAAAACAACTACACCAAGACATCTTTATGTTTGACTGACGTACCTCTCAGCATCGTGCAGAATCTCTCCCTTTATTTTCAGCTTGTCGCCTGTTCTCAGGTCCGTGTTCTTCAGTTCAAGTTGCTGGGAAAATGTTTGATATTTAGAGTTTCAGACAACATCATTAAAAGATGTGTTGGTCATAGAGGCATTCAATGCCCAAACGTTTTAATATTTCCATTTAAAATGCTTTATTTCTTGTGAATAAAAACTTAAAGACTGCAGTGCCCTTTAAAAACTAGTGTGACATTAAAACAGACAGCTTTATACTCACCATACTCATCCTGGCTGCTGCTGTGGAAGAATCAGGAAAATGGTGTTTCTACTCCGGCTGGTGCTTTTCCTGGGAGACAGAAGTGCTGTGCCTATTAATGCTAACAGTCACATGACAGGACTTGTATCTATTCAAATTTAAATCAATCAGCATCGTTATCATCCTGACTATTTAAATCCTATCACAGCATTGTTTCATCACAGACTAAAACTCACTGTAACGTCCAGAAAACTGCAATTTTGAAATACAGGGAGTGCAGAATTATTAGGCAAATGAGTATTTGGTCCACATCATCCTCTTCATGTATGTTGTCTTACTCCAAGCTGTATAGGCTCGAAAGCCTACTACCAATTAAGCATATTAGGTGATGTGCATCTCTGTAATGAGAAGGGGTGTGGTCTAATGACATCAACACCCTATATCAGGTGTGCATAATTATTAGGCAACTTCCTTTCCTTTGGCAAAATGGGTCAAAAGAAGGACTTGACAGGCTCAGGTCAAAAATAGTGAGATATCTTGCAGAGGGATGCAGCAGTCTTAAAATTGCAAAGCTTCTGAAGCGTGATCATCGAACAATCAAGCGTTTCATTCAAAATAGTCAACAGGGTCGCAAGAAGTGTGTGGACAAACCAAGGAGCAAAATAACTGCCCATGAACTGAGAAAAGTCAAGCGTGCAGCTGCCAAGATGCCACTTGCCACCAGTTTGGCCATATTTCAGAGCTGCAACATCACTGGAGTGCCCAAAAGCACAAGGTGTGCAATACTCAGAGACATGGCCAAGGTAAGAAAGGCTGAAAGACGACCACCACTGAACAAGACACACAAGCTGAAACGTCAAGACTGGGCCAAGAAACATCTCAAGACTGATTTTTCTAAGGTTTTATGGACTGATGAAATGAGAGTGAGTCTTGATGGGCCAGATGGATGGGCCCATGGCTGGACTGGTAAAGGGCAGAGAGCTCCAGTCCCACTCAGACGCCAGCAAGGTGGAGGTGGAGTACTGGTTTGGGCTGGTATCATCAAAGATGAGCTTGTGGGGCCTTTTCGGGTTGAGGATGGAGTCAAGCTCAACTCTCAGTCCTACTGCCAGTTTCTGGAAGACACCTTCTTCAAGCAGAGGTACAGGAAGAAGTCTGCATCCTTCAAGAAAAACATGATTTTCATGCAGGACAATGCTCCATCACACGCGTCCAAGTACTCCACAGCGTGGCTGGCAAGAAAGGGTATAAAAGAAGAAAAACTAATGACATGGCCTCCTTGTTCACCTGATCTGAACCCCATTGAGAACCTGTGGTCCATCATCAAATGTGAGATTTACAAGGAGGGAAGACGGTACACCTCTCTGAACCGTGTCTGGGAGGCTGTGGTTGCTGCTGCACGCGATGTTGATGGTGAACAGATCAAAACACTGACAGAATCCATGGATGGCAGGCTTTTGAGTGTCCCTGCAAAGAAAGGTGGCTATATTGGTCGCTGATTTGTTTTTGTATTGTTTTTGAATGTCAGAAATATATATTTGGGAATGTGGAGATGTTATATTGGTTTCACTGGTAAAAATAAATAATTGAAATGGGTATTTATTTGTTTTTAAGTTGCCTAATAATTATGCACAGTAATAGTCACCTGCACACACAGATATCCCCCTAAAATAGCTAAAACCAAAAACTACTTCCAAAAACATTCAGCTTTGATATTAATGAGTTTTTGGGGTTCATTGAGAACATGGTTGTTGTTCAATGATAAAATTATGACCTGCATAGCGACCGGTCATCTACAAATGTAATTCCACTTTCTAGGTGGATTTTCTATTCTATCTTCTAACACCCAGAAGATTTTGTAGTGCTTGTTGACATTTCATGAAGACAAGATTGTCAAACTTATCTCAGACTGCTGGATTCCACACTCTGAATGAAAAGTGAACTTTTACAACTCATAAGGTAAATCATTTATCGATATTTTTATTCGGTCAACTACAACAATTTATCAATTTTACATAAAAGTAATCAAGCAACCAAAAAGAATAGGTTGAAGCCTAGTGGCTTATAATTAGCCTATCCTTAACTCCCACAGAGATAATCAAATCCCTAACCAAGGCTGATAGATAAGATGCATACCATTTAAAGAAAAAGCAATGATAAATCAAGAAATCAAATCAACACAAGGTTAGACATCAAACTAAGTTTCTATAACTTTGGAAGATGCAAATTTTTAAAATTTTTTTGAAAAATGACAAAGAATAACACATCTTCAGTTCATCATTAAGTCCATTCCATAACTTCACTCCCAAAACCGACACACATCTATATTTAGCATTAGTTCTCGCTTTAGGTATTTCAAACATATAAGACCCCCTCAAATCATATTTTCCATCTCTTAATTTAAACATACTTAAAATACTAATTGGAACATTCTTTTTCACCACTCTATACATCATTTCTAAAGTTTTAAGATAAATAATGTCCTTAAATTTTAACATAGCTGATCCTACAAAAAAATGGTTTGTGGACTCCCTATATCCAGCTTTATTTATTATTCTAATAGCTCTTTTTTGCAATTTAAAAACTGAATCCAGATATGTTTTGTATGTTTATAATCATATGGTTGAATGAACCAGATGTTATGTGAAATGTTTGAATAATCTTATGAGAAGATAGAATAGAAAATCCACCTAGAAAGTGGAATTATGTCTGTAGATGACCGGTCACTATGCAGGTCAATATATAGGTCAAAATTGCCCTTTTCTGGACGTTACACTGATGTCTTAACATAAACTGAGAACCAGGCGTCACAATGTGGTCGGAGGTTTAATTATTATTAAAGCAAGTGCTATAACTGTTAAATAGTACTGAAGCAAAAACTGCCATCAAGTGATTTTCCCTTTCAGTTTACTCTTAAAAATGCTGGGTTATTTTTCTAACCCAACTGCTGGGTTAAGGCTGAATTTTTAGAGGTTGGGTCAATTTAACACATCATTGGGTTAAAAATTCTGACCCAGCGTATTGGGTTAAAAAGGCGGGAAATAGTAAGATCCTCCCCCTTGTCTGTGAGCCGGCTTCACCATTTTAAATCAGAGGATGACACACCCATTGATTGGGTAGAAAGCATAACCCAATAAGCTGGGTCAAACTCATAACCCAACCCTGCTTGGTTAAAATAACCCAGCACTGGGTCGGTCCCTTTTTGACCCAGCACCTGGGTTACAAAACAACCCAAATTGGGTTATTTTTAACCCAGCAGTTTTAAGTGTGTAGATATTCAGTACCGATACAGGAGTTTTTTCTTTTTATTAAATTTTTTGGTTTTTGGTATTATTTGGCTAATAATGAATCCATAAAGGAAAATTGTGCAAACCTTCAGTGAAATAAAGTGCGCAAAAATAATCAATAAAATCGTTTAATCTAAACAATTTAATCTCTGAGCCAGAAATTTTGATTCTCATAGATTAACACTCCGGGCCAGTCAGATGTTTTTGAATGTTTATGGTGTAGTATAACATTTGGCCACTAGATGGCAGAAGAGGAGCGTTCTCAACACAACTTCCGCTACTGTGCAGGAAGTGACGAATTAAGTAAACAGTCGTCACTCAGTGCATCAAGAAGTTAAAATAATTGATATTTCAAGGCAAGATTTGCAAAAAAAATTGACCTAATGAATAGAAAGCGGGTAGTATAGGACGAACTCTAATAAACCTAACCCTAGCAAAGGTAAGAGGTTTGCGGCGACATTTCAATAGCAGCTGCCTGAAAGCTACATAAGCTAGCAGCTTTAGCAGCGGTGTTAGCATGTAGTTTGGTTAGGTCACGAAGTAGAAATGTATTGTTAGGTTTTAACCATAAATCCAGGGTTTCATACGTCTTCAAAGAGGCATTTACCTGGGAAGCACGAGCTGTTCGTAACCAGATGTTTCTGCCGCTCCGGTATCTCTCCTCTGTCAGCATCGACTGAGTTCAGCATCGATTAGAAACGGTGACTGTTTATTTTACTGGAAAAAGTAGTTTACTTTAAAACGTTTCCATATTTATCCCAGAAAACATCTACTCGTTTGTAATTAAATCGCTCTTAGTAGAGTTAAAAGTAAGTTCCTGATATTCATTTCTTTAGTTTTTATATTTTAGATCTCAAAGTTGAGCTGTTTCTTTTTCAGGGACAGTAGAGACATTGTCCTACAATGTTCACAGACATGAACTATGATTTGGAGGAGGACAAACTGTGAGTCTTGATGCTTTATAATCTCTATAATCCATTTACACGCGTTGATGCCTCTTGTAACACAGACTTTTCTGTTTACACCAAACCCTTTATGATTATCTGCTGATGTGCGGTGATTTCTGGATGTCAACACGTTTCCTCTTTATTAGCGGGATCCCAACGGTACCCGGCACTGTGACCCTGAAGAAAGATGCAAACAATCTTATCGGCATCAGCATTGGTGGTGGAGCACAGTACTGTCCCTGCCTCTACATCGTTCAGGTTGTTGTGTCGACATTAATTAGGGAAAAGAATCACTAAACTTCCATTTGAAGATGTCAGTGGAGAAATCCAATCGCTTTCTAGTCATTGTTACCGTGATTTGTGATTGTTCTGGTCTCTCAGGTCTTTGATAACACGCCGGCAGCTCTCGACGGGACGCTGGCAGCAGGTGATGAAATCACAGGTGTGAATGGGAAAACGGTGAAAGGAAAAACAAAAGTGGAGGTGGCCAAGATGATTCAAACGGTCCAGGTACTCGGGAATGACGCCAGTCTGTTATTTAAAGATCTGAACATTAGGAGGTTATGAGAATCTATTAGACAAATTTCTGAGATTGAAGATTAAACACAGCAATACTTTCTATTACTGTTTTCTTCTATGTTATTCTTATATCATCAAACCAAACTTAAACCATTAAACTGACTTCATCTCACCTCGATATACTCTAGATAGATATAATTATGTTACTTAAATATGATGTAGAATTTAAAGTGTGTTACATAACAACATGCAGACCAATAAGGAGAGAGGATGGCTTACTTTCTGAAGTTCTGCTGCTTCATCCGTGAATATTTCCACGAGGTTGTGAGCCCAGTTTCACTCAGAGGAGCAGAGGGACGGTTTCAGCGTTCCAGGCTGTTTAAAAGAGGACAAAGGGACAAAGCTCGTGGCGTCACATCAGCAGGACAGAGCGACTGCTGCTTTTGGCTTCCTTTGTCCATCCAAAAGAAAACATGACTTCCTGAATGGTGGGATAAAAACTGGTCTCAGTGTGGGAATTAAAGGCTTACACTGTTGACGTTACCGTTTCAGGACGCACGCTGCTCGTGAAGGTCCCCTTCTGTACCACAAAGTTGACCACATAAACCATTTTGTTCCTAATGCTTGAATATTAGAAATGAATACAGATGTTTCCTGTTTTTACATAAAGAAGATCCTAAATTTGTGTGTGTGTTCACAGGGGGAGGCGGTGATCCACTACAACAAGCTGCAGGCTGACCCCAAACAGGGAAAGTCTCTAGATATCGGTACCCTAATCTGGATTTTCTACCACTCTCATGTTTTAGTGTAACGCTGCGTCGTCTTCATAAGTCATGCTGGATGACGTTTGTTTGTTTCAGTGCTGAAAAAGGTGAAGCACCGCCTGGTGGAGAACATGAGCTCAGGCACAGCTGATGCTCTCGGACTCAGCAGAGCCATTCTGTGTAACGGTAAGTCTTGTTTTAAACGTTGTTGTTGTTGTTTAAAAGGTGACGGTTGGTTTAACCCTCTGGGGTCCATGGACGCGCGTACAAGAGTCTTTTGAACAGGTCAGATTTGGGACGCTGTAGCAGCAAGACTCCGCCTCCCTGAGTTTCATTTTCGATTCAGCTTTAGAAAGGAGATTATAAACTACACCCCCGTTTTTAAATTTTGTTCATAGGCAAGTAAAAGCGGAGTTATACTAAACAAAAAAAACAACCTATTTTTAGACAATCTGATAACTTGTCAAAACAGCAGTTTGGTAATCCGTGAGCGGGAATGTGCTTGTGAACATAAAAAACCCACAAAAACATGAAATCCTTTTGCTGTTGGTGGAAGTCTCACATATTCAGTTGATAAAAAGTATCATTATGTAGCTGAGAGAGAGAGGAAGGCCGCACGAGTAACGAGACGTGCGCTAAAAGGAGCCGCTTCGCGGGGAAAGGAGTGGCGCCAACGGAGCAACAACAAACAATTAGACAGATATTGATGGTAAACTTCATATTTTGGAGCGATCCGGACAGAAATATTGTCTCTGCAGTTTAGTCGGCTTTTATTAGGCTTATATAAAGGATGATGAGAAGGATAAATGTCCACCAGGCAGTTCAGAAAGTACGGCTGTTTTTTAAACTGGAAGCAGAGGAAGTGGACGGAGACTCGCAGCCGGAGTCTGAGGCAAACAGCGAGGATGTTGATGACGATGTGGCAGATCCATCCTTCCTCATAGAAGAGTTGGGTCATGATGAGGTAGAGGATGAAGGCAGAGATCCAGCACCTCGGAGATCCAACAAGAGGAGTGGGCGGCGCCGCGCAGCTGTCAGAGCCACTCCCCACTCCAAAATGCATGTACATTATTGCCAAATTAATAAAATAAGTATAAATTCAGATAGTCCAGGTTGTCCTGAAAAAAAAAATGGCAATATTTATTGTTTTTATTAGAAAATGCAAAAGAAAAACCTAAATGAGTCAAAAAAGGTGATTTACACCCTGGACCCCAGAGGGCTAATATATTTTTTTTAATTGTAATTTGCTGTATTTAGTCATATTTTTTATACATGTACAGTCTAGATTACCATTCTCAATAATAAAAAAACATTTGTCATAAATGTTTGTTGGTTTCACAGTAAAATAAACAACTTTTTTCCAAATCGGATTTTATGTTTTGAGTGATTTGAGGTCTAATATGCAACACCTTTATGTCCAAATATAAAAAATAAGTATAAATTCATAAAGTCCAGGTTGTGTTGAAAAGATTGATACCACATAAGGCAGTGGTTATGGTTTTTATTTGGGAAATACAAAGGAAAACTCTAAATTAGTCAAAAACGGCAAATTGCACCCTGGACCCCAGAGGGTTAAGGCGGATCCTTTTTGTTTCAGATGGGTTGGTCAAACGACTGGAAGAGCTGGAGAAAACAGCCGAGCTTTATAAAGGTGAAGAACCGAACTAAAAAGGTTTCCCAATAAAAAATCTGATTTGGTTAACCCTGGTAGATCCGATGTGTTTGGTTGAAACCACCAGATTCTGGTTCTGTTTTCAGGCCTGATGGAGCACACCAAGAGGCTGCTCAGAGCTTTCTTTGAGCTCTCCCAAACTCACAGAGGTCAGTATTTAGATCTTTGTTTGCTCCTTTCTGTATTTGAATGTCTTCATGGTGGAAAACGTGTCTGTTGCAGCGTTTGGAGACGTGTTTTCCATCATCGGGGTGAGAGAGCCTCAGGCTGCAGCCAGCGAGGCGTTTGTCAAGTTCGCCGATGCTCACAGGAGCATTGAGAAATATGGAATTCAGCTCTTGAAGACCATCAAGCCCGTAGGAACAGAATTTAGAGAAGATTCTGTAGAATATTAATCATTTCATTTGAGTAACGTGTTATGTTTCAACGCTCAGATGCTCCATGACTTGAACACATACCTCCACAAGGCCATACCCGACACCAAGCTCACCATCCGCAAGTACCTGGATGTAAAGTTTGAGTACCTGGTGAGGCCGCAGCGTTTAGTTTCTCCGCTGTCACACAAGACGCCGTGTTAGTGCCACTTAGTCGGTGTCTGAACTTCCTGTTTGTTTCAGTCTTACTGCCTGAAGGTGAAGGAGATGGATGATGAGGAATACAGCAGTATTGTGAGTATTTATAGAAACTGTTCCTGAGGGGCAACGTGTGGCTTTTTTAATAGAATATTCAAGCTAGCTGTTAGCTGGGGGAAACCCTGCTAACTGTTAGCATTAGCAACTTCACCACCCAGCAGAACTCCGTCGTGCTGGAGTTATCTGTGGACATAAAACATCAACGTTGCATAGTGAGCAGAGTCGATCTTAGAGTCACGTTGCCATTAGCCAATCAGAGGTGAGGTGTACAAATATCAGGACATACGTCCAAATCCTGCCGTCTGAAGCTCGACTCGGCTGCGGTTCACTTTGACTTCCTGAAACGGGAGCATGAGAGCCTTTTCCCTACAGAAATCGACTCATAAGGCGTTCATTTATTCAAGAGACCCCTGCAGATGTGTTCTTGTGGTCTTTTTAAAACTCTGTAAAACTTGTGTTTTGATGTTTGTGTTGCTTTATTTTATCCTGTAAAAACCTACGTTTCACCGGTATGTGCAGGCCATGGGAGAACCGCTATACCGGGTCAGCACCGGCAACTACGAGTACCGTTTGGTGCTGAGGTGTCGACAAGAGGCCCGCGCTCGCTTTGCCAAAATGAGGAAGGATGTTCTGGAGAAGATCGAGCTGCTGGATCAGAAACACGGTTTGCTCTCTTACCGTTAAGCTCGTGCCTCTAACTCGTGTTCACCAGAACGTAACGGTTCTCCTGGGACTCCTCTTCCTCTCCAGTTCAGGACATCGTGTTCCAGCTGCAGCGCTTCGTCTCCGGCATGTCGCATTACTACGACGATTGCTACGCCATCCTCAAGGAGGCGGACGTGTTCCCCATCGAGGTGGACCTGTCCCGCACCGCGTTCAACTACAGCAGCCAGTCCTTATCCTACACAGACGAGGAGGAAGAGGAAGGAGGAGGAGGAAGAGGAGAGGAGGGAGGAAGCAATCAAGTAGAAAACGGCACGGCGAAGCTGATCGACGATGAATGAGTGTGTGTGTGTGTGTGTCAGACGTTTAGCCCACCACTGTTGTTTAAGATCGCTGCTGGAATAGTTCCCACTGATGTAACGAAGGGGAATTCCTCTTAGGTTTGCTGCTGTGTTTCATTCATTCATTCATTCATTCATTTTCTGCCATTTTGAACGAGGTGACGGGATTTTCTTACTGCAGGGCTCACGAGGTTGTGCCTTTTGTTTTATTTTAATAATTTTGTCTATATTGAAGTTTATTGGGTGTGTGGTGTTTGTCCGTCTCCATTAATGCTGTACCTTTATATTATTTTATATTGCACTTTTCTCTCTGACATCATTTCATTACCTAAACGCCAACGCTGCATCTGTTTGCTGTAAACAATCCTGAAACAGATCCCCTAACAAAAAGAAAGTTTTACACATAAAGCTGTTACACACTTTTATTTACACCACAGATCTTTTTTCTTTCCACAGAGGTGGTTCTGTAATTGTTTCCAACTCCAAATTAAACTAAAATGCTGTTTTTGTCAGGTTTTAGGTCTCGTACTGTGTGCTTTAATTTGAAAATGTATTTTTTTTATTAGTCTTTTGTTCATTTGCAAGTCATGAAGCTTTTGACATTCCAGCTGTGACCCACAAACTTGGATTTAGGATTGTGAATGAATTCGGAAGACTTAATGAATGTTTTTAAGGAAGCAAGTGCTCATGTGCTCCGGTGGTGTTCGTTTTTCACTGTGTTTATTTATTTTGTTTGTTTTTCAAATATTCAAGAATCTATATTGAAAAAGACAAATTTACTGTTTAAAAAATATTAATAAATTAATTTGATCTCTTTTATGGCTATGTGCTCTATTGTCCACAAGAGGGCAGCATTACACCAGATGCAGATAAAAAAAGAGTGATTTTTAAGTAAACAAAGCATACAGGTGGTTCATTCTTAGAAATAATATTTTATTAATAATACGGTCCGTATTTATGTTGGACTGGTCTAACATGTAAATACATTATTGGAAGATCACTAAAGCTTTATTGTGAAGAAGTGATTTGGAAATGTGTTTCTTCTACCTTCATTTATTATTTTAATATTGAGTTATAAAATTTTATTTCAGTTTTGCCTTATAAACCATGTAGCGTGTTAACTACATACTAGGATAACACTGTTTGCTATCAGTTTGGTTAGATCCTGAGAAAAGATCCAAACAAGTTAACAAATGAAGCTTCTACCATATGTAAATATCTAGGATATTATACATTCGATAGAAGTTCATATGCCAACGAGCTTCATCTATTTTTAATCCAATGATTAATTTTTAAATTTAAGCTAATTAAATTTAATAGCAAAGTTTATTTAATCAGAAGTTTAAAGGAATCTTTGCTTTTTCAATAACCAAAAATAAACACCATTCTGTGTTTAATTTCAAAGAAGAGTCAGAGTTTTTAAAAAGTTAAGAATTTATTACCAACACTTGGCAATTTGAAATGACAATTTTTAACAGACAATTTGATATTAAAACTTGTTTTAAAAAGCAAACCTGTGACTGAATGGAAACTAAAATGAAATGCGAGGTTTTGGATGCGTGAATGAATCAGAAGGTTTCTTTCAGCGAGAGAATCGTTCTGGGTGATAAAGTTGGTTTTGAAGCTAGCTGAGTTGGTTTTATAGAAAACAGCATACAGACACCATCTGTCAAAAGTGTCTACCTCACCCAGTATCAGGAGGCCCTCTTCTGGATCCGAGATGTCAGGTGGAGATGATGTCCTCCGGGCACGAGGTTGGTAGAAGGACCTTAGTGCAACCAAATCGGTCCTGAGATGTCTTCGTGGGTCACTCGACTGGTGAAACTGTTTGCGTCTCAAAATCAATAACTCTGAAGGAGTTTTGAGTCAGCTGGCTACAGGTGCGTTTATTCGAAGCAAGTCTATCGGCGTGACAAAACAGCTTAGTCGAGATTTGGGCGGTCTTCCCTCGTCTCCTGGTATGGTTCAAGAACTGAACTTACAGCTGAGGGATTTGGTTTTGACAAAACTTCAGAACACGCCCTCTCAACGTCAGAAAGCTTGATGCTATGAAATAAAGAACATGTGAGGTGTTTTAACTTTACCCTGGATACTCTGCGTGAGGTGGTTAACGTGCAAGATGACCTTCTGGTTTACTGAACACACATTACTTGATTATTATTGTAACCCAGTCATTTCAGTAATTAAAATACATTTATACTGAACCAAGAGATTATTTATGATGGTTGTAATAAGCAGTAATAAAGTCAAGAGTTTCTTGAAATTATTATTGTAAAATCTTGAAGTGTTCATCTTGGGACGGAACAGCAGCAGATAAAGATGTTGTTTCAACAGACATCACGGCTCCTGGCGGGTTAATCTGTGGGGCAAAGTTACAGTTCAACCCAGCTGGGAAAATGTGACCTTTGTCACAAATTAGAGGCCATTCATGACGCTACATCCATATACTTTAATTGCAATTTTTTTTTTCATTTCTCTGATTAACAAGCAAATCAAATGAAATTAGCTGTTGTGATCAAACATTTACTGTTTCACTGTAGATTGCCCACGTGAGCATTGAAGTCCCCCTGCAGGACAATGGAGTCCCCTGATGGAGCACTATCTAGCACTCGTCCCAGGAACTCCAAAAAGGGTGGGTAGTCTGAACTGATATTTGGCCCACAACCACAAACAACAGTCAGGACCCATTCCCCGACCCGAAGGCGCAGGGAAGGTACCCTCTCGTCCCCCGGGGTAAACCCCAACTCACAGGCAGAGAGTCTTGGGGCTAACAAAAAGCCAACCCCAGCCCTCCGTGTCTCACCCGGAGCAACTCCAGCAAAGGAGAGTGTCTAACCCCCTCAAGGACTTGGGTTCCAGAGCCAATGCTATGTGTCGAGGTGAGTCCGACTATATCTAGCCGGTACCGCTCAACCCCTGCCACAAGCTCCTGCTCCTTCCCCGCCAGCGAGGTAACATTCCATGTCCCAAAAACCAGTTTCCTTGTCCGGGGATCGGATCGCCAAGGCTCCCGCCTTGGTCTACCACCCGATCCACACTGCACCGGACCCTTCATGTTCCTCCTGCGGATGGTGGGTCCAGAGTTGGATGAGCCCATGTATCCGGTTTGGGCTGAGCCCGGCCGGGCCCCATGGGCGAGAGCCCGATCACCAGGCGCTCACTCACGGGCCCCAACCCCAGGCCTGGCTCCAGGGTGGGACCCCGGTAACCCTCCGGGCCTGGTACTCCGACTCTTTGTTTTTACGTCCATGAAAGATCTTCTGAACCGTTCTTTGTCTCACCCTTCACCTAAGACTCATTTGTCATGGGAGACCCTACCAAGGGCACAAAGTGTCAGACAACATAGCTCCTAGGATCAATAGGGCACTCAAACTCCTCCACCATGATAAGATGACGGTTCAAGGACCGGGAAAGGGTGGCTTGCCAACTCCGGGTCGGGGGAGAGGTCCTACCTCAAGTGGAGGAGTTTGGGGTCTTGTTCACGAGTGAGAGTAGGAGGGATCGGGAGATCGACAGGCAGATTGGTTCGGTGTCTGCAGTGATGCAGGCACTGAGCCGATCTGTCGTGGTGAAGAGGGAGCTGAGCCAGAAAGCCATGCTCTCGATTTACCGGCCGATCTACGTCCCAATCCTCACCTATGGTCATGAGCTTTGGGTAATGACAGAAAGAACGAGATCGCAGATACAAGCGGCCGAAATGAGTTTCCTCCGTAGGGTGGCCGGGCTCAGCCTTAGAGGTAGAGTGAGGAGCTCGGACATTCGGGAGGGACTCTGAGTAGAACCGCTGCTCCTCCGGATCGAAAGGATTCAGTAGAGGTGGTTTGGGCATCTGGTCAGGATGCCTCCTGGAAGCCTCCCTGGGGAGGTGTTTCGGGCATGTCCTGCCGGCAGGAGGCTCCCGGGTCGACCCAGGACACGATGGAGAGGTTACATCTCTAATCTGGTCCGGGAACACCTTGGGGTCCTGCCAGAGGAGCTGGTGGAGGTGGCTGGGGAGAGGACGGTCAGGAGGTTCCTAGTTGTGATGCTGCCCCCGCGACCCGGACCTGGATAAGCGGAGGAAGACAACGACAAAGTAGTTTCAGATAAAGACATTCTGGCTTTCCCGTAATTTAGACTAACTATTTTGTTAACACTAATTTAAAACACGTAGTAATTTTGAGTAATGTGCTTTATTTCGAAGGAACCGATAGAAAGTGCTTATGGGTTATGTCTTGTTTAGCTTTATGAACACCACCTCTAGTATCAGCTTGTCTCCAGAAGAGGGCATAAAAATCCTTACGCCTTCGAAAGCTAGATACTAAAGGATCGGGTTGTTTCCATCCGTTGACCTAAATAATACAAATGAATCCCGTATAGACGGAGTATGAGTCCGTCAAGCACATGAAATGACTGATTGAAAGTAATCAAATTAAAAGTTTATTTAGAAGAAGAACAAAAAGCAAAACAGGAATGCATTTCTACTCTGTTACTGTTTTTTTGTGTGTTGGGTTTTTATTTATTTTTTAGTTTTTGAGTAATTTATACATTCATAGTGAAATCCAAAATCATTAACGCTTTTCCTGTTTGAAAAATGGACATTTAAAAAAAAACAGTTCTATCAATGAGACTTTCTTTGTGTTCAATGTGTTTATTTTTGCCCTTTAGCTACCAGAGGGCGTATGCTGCAGGTAGCTGCTGATGGTTCCTGCTTTAGCTCGTTGATTTAATCGTATTGAACACAGATCATTTAAATAGATTTATTGAATTTTATATGTTTGTATAGGTGAATATGTTCTGGCTATCCCGTTATTTACACTGTTAACGCTCATTAAAACCCCGCAATACTTTTAGGTAGTTAGTTTTATTTTGAAGGGTATTACAGGAAGTACTAATAAGTAATGTCTTGTTTAGCATTAATAACGCTACCTGTAATAACCTTTCCCTAATCTGGAAAGCCAGTCTCGCTGCACCCGTTGAACCCCTGCACCCGGCCGCTGCACAACCCTATTATACCTATATACAGTTTGAATTGTGACTTTAGCTAAATTACAAGAGAAAAAGACTGAGAAAAAGAAAATCTGTAACTAACGCCGCTGTAGCATTTTATTTTGAAATAGTTTACAGGAAGTCTTTCTACTAACTATTATAATGGAGTTCCCTATTCTCCTTCTCCTCGTTATTCTCCTTAATATTCAGAAGATGACAGAAACAAATATTTTTTGCCAGTTTTACTGAGATAAGTTGGTTAAAATGTTCTCTAAATTGTTTAACAGAACTTGAGTTCAGTTCTAGCTTTTCGCCACTGGAGGGCACCAATGTCGTTCATTGTAGCCATAGACATATAAATCTAAGATGTCTATTATTGTAGCGCTGTAGTTAGGGGAGTGTGTAAAGTATGTGTGGCGTGAGGGCGGGTCAAGACAGATAAATGCGTGTGTCTCCCGCTTATTGCAAAAGAGCTATAAATACGTTGCCAGTCGGCGTGTCAAATTTCATTAAAAGTACATTCAGAGTTACATATAGCGCCCCAGTGGCCTAATGGATAAGGCACTGGCCTCCTAAGCCAGGGATTGTGGGTTCGAGTCCCATCTGGGGTGGAGTACTACATTTTGTGTGTTGTTTTTTTACAAGGTCAAATCCATTGAAAATGTAGTAATTAGCAGCTTTTGTGTTTTCATCGGCAGCTTTACACTGCTGTTCATTGATAAATCACTATTTTCCCACCCCCGTGCCCTGAGCCAATAAGGAAGCGCTCCACTCCCGTGACTCGAGCTGTCCTGGACTTTCCTCTGCCACCAAACATCTGATTTCCTCTCTTTGCTTCCACCCGATGCTTCCACTTCATGTAGTCGTTCTCTTCATGTTGCGCCAGTCTTAGTGTTTTTCACCATTCCCTCGCTAACATGTTATTTGTAAACAGGCTGTTTTTCTTGCTTTTACTTCGCGTGGCTCCTACCGTGGCTGCTGAACGTAAGTAGAGCCTTTGTGGGAATATTCCCAGCTGGTTTCATAAGGACTGTCTAGGCTTTCACATTTAAGACATTTGGACAGTAATGATTGGTTTTAAGTCCTTAATAAGCAAAAACATTTAAAGTTTTTTTTATAACTGCTGTGATTTCTGAGCGTGTTTCTTATTTATTAAAGAGGATGAGCCCCTAAACACATCCATATGTCAACAGAAACAACATTGTGTTAGAATATAGTTATAACTATTACTAAGGATTGTATCATCAGCCCCTCTGACCACCACCATCCTTCACACACAAACGTGCATTTTTAGGTTAATGGGTGACTCAGGTGGAGGTGAGTGTGTGTCCCGGTGCTGCTGACCTGTCCAGGTGTCCCCCGTCTCTTGCCCAATGACTCTTGGAGATAGGCACCTTGTGACCCAACTCAGGAAGGAGTGATTACAAACGATGAATGAATGATTGTTGTTTCACTGAAAACAGACCTGTATCAGCTGTAGAAGAAGAATTTGTTCCCTAATTAAAATAATTTTTTACTGTTTGTTTGCCCAGAGGTGACAACAGCCACAGTGTACTGGGACCCGGACCACAAGCTTGTCCTGCTAAAGGAGGGAGTGATGGAGACAGCCGGGGATGCCTATGGCTACTTGAACAACACCCTGTCCACCACAGGCTGGAGTGTCCTCGAGATCCGTGCTGGACATGGAAAGACTCCTGAAACGGATGAGGTCACTTTCTTCCTGGCTGGTTACCTAGAAGGATTCCTCACTGCTCAGTAAGTTGCAAAAACATCTCAGCTGTATCATTTTCTTCTCTTGTTATGGATGCTTGTGTTTGACCATCTACTTTATCAGGTGTTTCTGGTCCAGTTCTGGTGATCCATGTGAATTGTAGTCCCAGTTTCCTGTTTTTAGTTGACAGGAGAGACACCTGGTGTGGTCTTCTGCTGCTGGAGTCCATCTGCTGCTGGTGTTCTGCAGACAGAACCAGTGGTTATCTGAGCTGCTGTTGTCTTTCAATCATCTTACCAGTCTGACTATTCTCCTCTGACCTCAACACCACCTAAATGGTACCATGTGATTGGCTGATTAGCTCAAGAGAGGGATTTTATATCCTCACGGGTCTGGGAACGCCTTGGATTCCCTCAGGAAGAGCAGGAAAGTGTCTCAGCAGCCTGATTTTGGATAAATGATGGATGGATGGGTTCGGTTACTTATTTTTTTTACTGTAAATCTGTAAAGTGTGATTTCCTAAATGTGTTTGTCTGCTGTGGCTCTCGTTCCTCAGGCAGATGATGGATCACTACACCAACATGTATCCACAGCTGATCAGCGATCCAAAGATCCTCGGTTCAGTTAAGACGTTCATGGCGTAAGTATTTTCTGTCTGAAACCTCCGCTTCAGCTCTGTGGCCACACACAGTAGACCATCTGAGATGAACATCTCGTTCTTCGTCTTTCACATCCTTTTCTCGGTCGGGCTCACGCTGAAGTCGCGTGACAGTCTGGTTCTCCGCGCTGGCTTACAGCTGTGTGTGAAAAACTGTTGCTTCAATATTTCCGTGAATCATCTCTTCCCACTTTAAGTCTGTTTTAGCAGCTCCACCACGTGTCGATGGAACATTTTACCGTGCGCTCTGTGCTCGGGTTGCTTTTTCCGTAAATGACACGGTGAATAAACAGGAAGTGTCACCCCCCCCCCCCCCCCCCCCCCCCCCCATGCAGGAAGCAGGACTCGTGGGTCCGAGAGCAGGTGAAGCTGAACAAGAGCGCTGATCCTCTCTGGAAGCACGCGGGCTTCGTTGTGGCCCAGATGGACGGGCTGCAGGCAGGAGTGGCCGAGTGGGCCAAGAGGCACGGGAAGAAGGTGTTTATCTCACAGAAGCATAAACTTTTCCTGCAAAATAACAAAATTAAAGTGGAGCGTCGTTAAATCCTGGTTAACAGCAACTTTGGTAGTTTAAGAAGATTAACGCTTAGTCTCAGAGATTAATTACTATTCATATAAGTTCCTGTGTAAAAGGTGGAAGCTTCAGTCAGACTTCCCATTCAAACTTTTAAATATAAAGAGACATCCTTTATTTTTTCCTCACTTTGTGCTGCTTTAAGTCTCAGTTTTGCATTGAAAATACGATATTTTCCTTTCTCAGGTAGTGTTGTGTTTCAGGTGTTAATCTCCCGCTCTTCCCACAGCCGTTGTCGCTGTTTGACGTCCAGTTCCTGAACGCAGTAGGAGACCTGCTGGACCTGATCCCAGCCTTAGTTCCTGGCTCCAACGCTCCCATCAGGGACTTCAGACTTCCAGGAATGGGGCACTGCTCTGCCCTCATTAAGGTGACAGGCCCAAACATGCCTTATTCAGGCTCAGTGGCGGTTTTACATTTAGGCATAGGTCAGCGGCCGCCTGGGGCCCCCTTATATTGGGAGGCCCCCTAGCCCTGATCGCTGGCACCCCTCTGTCAATGCCACAACGGACTATTCCTTTAAGACGCCGATGCACAAACAGGAAGCGATTGGTAGTCATTCCACTCCAATCCAGTTAGTCGCAGAAATCCACCAAATTGTTGTTTGCCAAGTGCCATAAGAACACAAAGAAGAAGAAAAAAAAGCAGAAGAAGAAGAAGAGAGGCACGAGCGTTCATAACAAACTCGAAGTGGTAGTGAAAACATGAAGCATGAAATGGAGTTGTCCTAATGGCTCCAATAAGAGAAAGAAGCAGCTCGCTTCAAAAAAGATTTTATCTTCACTTCCAAAAGTGACGTCGTTTTTCAATGTAAACATCAAAGGAAGCAGAAAGGAAAGACAATGGAAAATGTTTAAAGGGAGGAAAACATAGAGCAAAATGGAAAATTGAAAAAAAAGAAAGGCAAAAGCACAGGAGCCCTGAGAGGAAGAAGAAAACAGAGCAAATATTGAAGGCACTCAAAGGGAGAGAAAGACAGGAAAAACGAGGAGGACTAATAAAAAGGGAAAATAACTCGTGTCAGAAGAGGGGAGAGTTTCGCAAATCCAGTTAAAGATTGTCGAAAATTTTGTGTACGGGGCCCCATGTCTGTGTTCGCCTTGGGCCCCCAAATTGCTAAATCTGCCACTGTTCAGGCTGCAAGACAGAAAATGCAGGAAGTTAAAGCAACACTTAAGAGTGTTTTACACCTTAACAGTGTGTTTTTAATAGTGTGCGTTAATTTGAAGCATTGTTTGTAAATGAATCAGATGTGTTCGAATGCTGCAGTATACGAGTAACCAGTAGGCGGAGTTGACAAAACGAGTGAGACACCCTTACCATGGTGACTCCGGCTCTGGTTTAGAGGTCTTTTATATTATCTACTAGAGATGTAAGAAAATATCGATATGGCAATATATCGTGATATTTTTTCCAGCAATATTACATGGATATTCAAAAGCCATGTATCGGAAATATCGATATGGCAATGTAAAGTGATATTTTTTCCTGCGATTATTACATCGATATTCAAAAGCCATGTATCTAATTCTTGAAAGAATTGACATGCAAACTTTTGTGCATTTTCTTTTCCTTTTGTGCAATTCAATCGCCACCCGCTAGTTGGCAGCAGTGTGCAACGGGTTTGTTTCCACCGTTGAACTGTAAATCCCTCCATCATGGTTCAGATACCTCATGTTAAACATGTTACGTATCAGTTTGGACTGTTTATTGAACATTCTTACAATAAATTCAGTAAAAACATTGCTTGTAACGTCTGACTGAATATATCGCAATATATCGTGATACATCGTATTGTCTCCCCTGTATCGTGATACGTATCGTATCGCCAAAATTTCAAAAATACACATCCCTGTTATCTACGATACTGATGCTGCCTTTTTTTCTGTCATGGTGCCATGTGTGTTTTGGTTGTACCCACAAACCCGGTGTCGGTACAAGATCTGCTCGGGTGCAAGATCGGCTCGGGTCCGTCGACTGCCGATGACGTCTAAGTAGTTGATTGGCTGAACATGAACCTTACGGAATTACGTAATCACGTAATGTTGTTATCACGTGACGTTGGTCCAGGCAAATTTTTTCTATTGGAAAGATGGACAACTTTTACAAAGAAATCCATCATTACCTCTTTGAAAATACACTTTTAGCATAGAGCTGCAAGTATATTAGGGCTGAACGATTAACTGCATGTGCAATTAAATTGCGATGTGACAAAAGGAGATTTTCTAATGGCAAAGGCTGCAATTTGGCAGCGAGTGGTTAGTGCAATGCTAATATACATGGAAAAACCCATAGGAATGCTAATGCTAATATCGCCGATTACATTATTACAAATTATGAATTAGAAACGTACCAAATTATTACATTTGGAGTCTAATAGAAAGTAAAACTACCATCAATCAAATAAGTACAGACAGGTATTTTAGTAAAGCCAGAAAACTTTTAACTCCAGAGCTTTGGCTAGCAGCTATGAGCGTAACTGAACTACGCATGGACAAGACGTCAAAAACTCAACACAATTACTTCAATAAATGGGACACACTTCTTTCCTGCAAATACAATTTCACAGGTGTTGCTAATACCTATGATTCTTCAAGAGATGTGCTCAAAGAGGAGCTCAACATGAATCAAATATAGTGTTTTATTTTACAAATACTATTATAAACACAAACTTACGTCTTAAGAAACATTATTTTAATAACGAAACTGCTAAATTCTTTCCAACAGTATAGATGTGTAGTGTATTTTGTCCGAGTGGGTTTGCCGTACTTTGACGTCATCGGCAGTCGAAGGACCCCGAGCCGATCTTGCACCCGAGCAGATACTGTACCGACACCGGCTCTCTATCTGGTCTGAGTTCTCTACTGTGCCCCCTAGCATAATCCTCCAGTACTACATGCAGTGCAGCAGCAAGGACAGTCAGGCCCTTAAATATTGGAACATCAACATTTTTGTTATACACCACAATGGATTTGAAATGAAAAAAAAAAAACACAATGTGCTATAAATGCAGACTGTCAGCTTTTGACCAAAGCTGCGTCAACGTGAGGTTAGCTGTTGTATTCCTGTATTTAGTGTTAGCTCGTTGTTAGCGCTAGCTACGGCAGGGTTGTTTACGCCAGTTGTAATTCCACTTTCAACCAGTAGGAGTGAAACTTATTTAGTGTTGCTCAAAGTTCCTCAAAGCTCCTGAAGAACTAATTAGTGATGCATCAGTACCATCGGCTGGGCTAGGATGGTTTTTGAGCAGTAGCCATGCAGAATGAAAAGAAAGGGAACTTTTTGTTCATGTGATCTGCACAGAAGTTTAGAGTTAAAGAGTTACTGATGAAGATATCAGAACTCCCAACGCTGAGGTGAAACTCTGTTCAGATGAGTGATTTCCACAACTGCAGCCGTCCACCAGCTCCGTGTTTTACACCTCTGCTCACTCAGGATGTAACCTGACCTGTTAGGATGAGATGTCTGTAGCCGCAGGTCAGCCCGGGGTAATCCTAGTTACTTAGACAGGAAAAGCTTTTTTGTTTACTGAAGATATTTCAGCTCTCGTGTTCCTGTTGTCTATGGGACGATGGCGGCAAAGCTACTGGGCTGGTTCCAAAATGCTTTTTCCCACTTACCTGACTCTGAGGACTACGGCAACCATAGAAGTAATTTTTGGGGGGGGACGCGGGGACATGCCCCCCCCCCCCCCCCCCCACACACACACACACACTTTTTCCATAGTCAAAGTTTGACCCCTGCATTTTTTACCATCCAAAAACAATATTACACTATATTAAATTGACACTGGTTGAGCTCTAGGACCAAGCGGAAAACAACCGTTTGTGTTGAAGCCCGTTTCCCATTAGAGCATACTGTAAAGGTACCCCCCCCCCCCCAACCCCACTGTGTTCCCCCCACTTCTAAAGTGAAAATTACGTCCATGACAGCAACAGACTAAATTCACTTATGGTGGGATGTCCCTTTAAATAAACCAGGACTGGAGAGCACACCACCTCAGCTGAGCTCGTGTTTGTGACCTTTAGCTGCAGGATATACCGGTTTCTGCCTGTTTTAGTGAAAATCCCTGGATTCTGCTTTACTTGGATTTAGTAATTCCTTTAAAAGTGGAGCTATGGATTAGAAATATTTTTCTGAGTTCCGAACTTTAAACCAGTTTTGTTGTTCTCCGTCATCTTCCTCAGATGCTTCCAGGCTATGAGAACCTCCTGTTTGCCCACTCCAGCTGGTACACGTACGCTGCCACCATGCGCATCTACAAGCACTGGGATTTCCTTATCTCTGACCCCAACACAGCCACTGGGAAACTGTCCTTCAGCAGCTACCCTGGTGTGTAGACCTCAGCAAGTCTCTTGAGGACACATTTAGAGATAAAAACCAGTCAATGATGTCCACGAAGACGAAACAGATCAGCTGTTTTATGCTGATCTGTGGGGGATTTGTTAGTGTTCTTCACATCTGACCAAAGGCTTGTGTCCTTATAGATTATCAGCAAACGCCATTTCAAGAACCTGCTTTGTGATTTCAGGTTTCTTGGTTTCTCTGGATGACTTTTACCTCCTGGGCAGCGGTTTGATGATGACCCAAACCACCAACAATGTCTTCAACTCCTCCTTGTTTGATAAAATCACCCCAAACAGCCTGCTGGCGTGGCAGAGGGTCAGGCTGGCTCACAGTTTGGCTCATTCAGGAGAGGAATGGGCCAGAACCTTCTCCATGCACAACTCTGGTCAGTTTAGCTCAGTTATTAGACGTAGCAATCCCATGTTCATGAAAACTCTTAGAAATTGAGTCTTTTTCTGAAAGTAGTTAGCACAGCTAATTGAAATACACACGTGGCTATAAATCAGTACATTTAATAGATATTGAATAAAAGTAGCTGAGTTGTTCACTCCTCATGAAAACTGGTTTTTAACAAAAAGACTAGATTCAGCCTTTCTTAAAAGCAAATAGTGTAATATTTTATACTTATATATGTGTATGTATATATATATATATATATATATATATATATATATTTCTCACCAAACATCTATTCTAAGTATTCCTATCAGCTTGAAAAAATTGATAATTATATAAATAAACTGGTTGACCCTTCATAGCGTGTGCCATCTTGAAAAATGGAAGCATTTCAGGGACATGATGACATGATGTAACCTGACAGAAACCGCAGGGGGCAGCAGTACACCCTGGAAGCATTCAGTCTGCCAAACCAGCCAAGAAGAAGAGAACAGACGCACTGTTTCTGTACTCAGTTAGGCCTTTTGAAATGTGAAAAGACATACTTTAAGAAAAGACACTTGAGCCAATGCTTCAACTTCTTGAGACACAGCAATAGATTGTTGGTAATACCCTTGTCCGAAGTCCACATCGATGCAGACTTGGGCAAAGTAGGGATTAAGGGTGCAAAAGGGGTGTGGTCACCTTTCACACTTGTGAATCAAGACATCCTAAGCTCTCGCACCCCAAGCTGGGAACGCACAATTGAAGGGTGCAAGAGGGGAAGTGCAAGTATTGGGGCTGGGCCTTTGAATAAAATTGACAACATTTTGCCTTTTTGTTGCATTTGGGCTACCGTAGATGTAGTACCTACTCTGAACTGCATGGCAAGAGTCCATTTATTTCCACATACTTGGCCTTTAACATAAAATGTGGGTGACATGCGTGCCGTGACATATATCTTCTACTTAATTAATATTTTCATGAGTGTAAAATAAATTATGCACTCAATAAATATAAATATATGCACTTATAAATACAATTACTTACTTAGTTACTTAACAAAGTAAAGTATTACACCTAAAACCATTGCTCCTTTATGCTCCGTGAACCACCGCTGACTGTCCACCTGCACAGGCACCTACAACAACCAGTACATGGTCCTGGACAGGAGCAAAGTGAAGTTGGGCCACAGCATTGATGACGGCGCTCTGACCGTAGTGGAGCAGATCCCTGGTTTGGTGGAGTACTCTGACCAGTCACAGGCTCTAAGGAGAGGTAATTTCGTGTCTGGTTTTTACCGTCTTGGTCCTTTTTGGCCCTTTTTGTAACAAGTCTTTCTGGATGTGACTCAGGATACTGGCCATCCTATAATATTCCCTTCCACCGGAGAATCTATGTGATGAGCGGTTATGGAGAAATGTTGAAGGAGTACGGCGACGACTTCTCCTACGATCTCTGTCCCAGAGCTAAGATCTTCCGCCGTGACCAGGCCAGTGTGAAGGATCTGGACTCTTTAAAATACATCATGAGATTCAACGGTGCGTTGCTGTTTTGACTCAACCGTCTTTTTTCTTTTATCAGAATCCAAACATGTTTTGTTTCCTTGTTTTCAGACTACAAGAACGACCCGTACTCTGAGGGAAACCCATGCAAAACTATCTGTTGCCGTAACGACCTGAAAGCAGAGAAGCCTTCACCTGGAGGTTGCTACGACACCAAGGTAGTCTCCAGTCATGATGGATGTGGTCACTTCTCAGAATCCCTTTAGTGTTGCTCATGCTGTTCTCCACGCAGGTGACAGATTTCAACATGGCGGGGGATTTTGTTGCAGAGGCGATCAACGGCCCGACGACGCAGGGCGAACTCCCGCCTTTCGTCTGGGATAAATTCAGCAGCATCAGCCACCAGGGCCTCCCACAGTTCTACAACTTCACGTTTGTCCCGATGAAGCCTCTTCTCTTCGAACCGTGACGTGTGTTCGAACTAAAGCTTCAGACAGATTTTAAATCTGGTTTTCTGCACGTATTTCTCTCGGGATGATGAGTGCAGGATGCAGGATGAATTTTCTTCCACTGGTGCCTTGAACACTGACAGTATCTATAATTTTATCAAATCAGTGCACTAAATCTCCTTTGATGTTTTTTAAAACGCTTGAATATCGTTATAGATGCAAACGCTGTCATTATAATCATAAATGCAGCAGATTGGTGCCGATGCTCTCATGATTTATTCTGACGAAGTCCCGTCCAGCATCTCAGGTTTATATATTTCTCTGATCTTGTGGATATTTCTGTGTACGTGTGTTGTGCCATCATTTCATCTGATGTTTATGAGATCAGGAAAGCTAAACTAAAATACAAGGACAAAATAGAAGAAATGTATAGCGGTGGTGACCTTAAGGCAGCCTGGAAGGGTATCAAATGTATGGCTTCTTGTAATCACCAAAAAGAGGATAAGAAACTTATCAATGTAAAAGGAGTGCCTGACTCTGTCCTGCCAGATGTTTTTTATTCATTTTTTAGTCGGTTTGAGAGGGGGGACCTTATTGGAAAGGTTGGGGTCTGCAAGGAAGACCTCAAACCTAGTGAGGGATTTGTAATTTCACTAGACCAGGTCACCATCTTACTTAAAAAGGTAAAGGTGGGGAAAGCAAGGGGCCCCGACGCCATCTGTGGGCGTACCCTGCATCACTGTGCCAACCAGTTGAGTAGTGTTTTTAGCAGATTGTTTCAAACATGTGTGGATGTGGGTCAGATTCCATCTTTGTGGAAAACTTCGACTATAATCCCAATCCCTAAATCAAGTACTTCAAAGGAACTGTCTGACTTTAGACCAGTAGCTCTCACATCACTTGTGATGAAAACTTTTGAAAAAATTCTAAAATCCGAAATTTTATCTCTGACAGAGGGGAGACTTGACCCACTTCAATTTGCCTACCAGCAAAATAAGGGGGTAGAAGATGCAGTGCTTTGTGTATTGAACACGGTCTACAGGCACCTTGATAAAACGGGGACTTGTGTAAGGCTCTTGTTTGCAGACTTTTCTTCAGCCTTTAACAAGATGCAGCCCCACATCCTGATTGAAAGACTTGCCAATGTTTTTAATTTGCCCGATCAGCTTCTCTTACTGATTTTGAACTTTCTTACGGGGAGGACCCAGCGGGTGTTGGTTAATGGTCAGATTTCTCTCCCATTAATGTCCAGCACCGGATCTCCTCAGGGATGCGTTCTGTCCCCCCTGTTGTTTATCCTGTACACAGACAGCTGCAGGGTCACTCAGAACAACAGGTTCTTGGTTAAGTTTTCGGACGACACTGTTTTGATGTCCTTACTTTCGGGATCTGAAATAAACCATGGTCCCGCGCTGTCAGATTTTGTAGAATGGTGTGACAGTAACTACCTGGACCTGAACGTCAAAAAAACCAAGGATATGATTATTGATTTTAGACGCTCCGCACCACCCTACCTTGGTAGTAGCATCATCCACGGTGAAGTGGTGGAGGTGGTTGAAGAGTACAGATACCTTGGTTCTTGGATTGACAACAAGCTGCGGTTTGTCACAAACACGGACTCCATTTTTAAACGAGCTCAGCAGAGAATCTATCTTTTAAGGAAATTGAACTATTTTAACGTGAATAAAAGGATTCTCTGCAACTTTTATAGCTGTTTTATAGAAAGCATTTTAACATTTTCATTTGTTTGTTGGTACAAAGCCTTGTCCATGAAGGACAAAAAGAAGCTGCAGAGCATTGTAAAAATCTGCTCCAAAATTATTGGCGCCAAACAAAGAGACTTACAGTCTCTTTGGGAGGAGAGGGCGCGAAAAAAGGCTAAATGTATCCTTGGTCAGCCCCTCCATGCTCTGCACTCTGAGTTCTCTCTTATGCCCTCAGGACGTCGTTATTATGTACCTTCTCGAAAAACAAACCGCTTTGCCAACTCCTTTGTTCCATCAGCTATTGAACTGCTTAACTCTGAGCCGGGAGGGGTGGCGAAATAACAGCGAAGTATCATCGGCTTTAAGCATGTGCCATTTTTGGAGGGCTGCTGCTCATCCTCTACCCTTCATTTAGGATGTGTTCGGCATGTTGGTAGTGACACACATTGTGTGATTGTATAAATGGATTGTTTGCTTGGCTGTTTTTATGAGCGAGTTATTCTGTGTGGTAAGCTACAAATTAATTGCCCCATGGGGACCAATAAAGTTTTCTGATTCTGATTCTGTTTATTAAATTTTTTAATTGTACCCTTATAGTCCCATATCGACTTTCAACCACTGTGTTTAAAAAGTTTGGCAGATAATTAGCATAATTTCAGACTGAATGCTGATCTGGGTCCCTCAACTTGGCCTTCAGCTTCCTAACAGGCCACGAGGACTGACTGTCCACACGAGGAAGTGAACTGAGTTGGGAAGGAGGAAGTGTGCCCCATCAGGGAGTGTGAGACATTCTTCAGTGCCTTCAGATGATGCTTTTCTCTGTCTCGCTGCTGTTGTTGTTCTCACGTCATAGTTTGTCAGCCCTCTGAGGCCCCCTTGTGGCCTGGGAGCCCAACTAATTGCCTGGCCGGATGCTGAAACTCTTGAGTTTCACTTTAATAAAGTTTGCGTGTGTTCTGGACGACCCTTTCCCTGAGGGATACTGGATGTTATCTACACTGCCTGGCCAAAAACAAAGTCACCACCTGGATTTAACTAAGCAAACTGGTACAACCCTCCTATTGGATAATTACTGCATGAGCGATTATCTTTCAGCAGGGAGCAAGTTATGTAACCCAACTGGTGCAATAAGTTGCTTCTCATTTCTTAGACAACTATGTGAAAGACACATCTGGTGGTGGAAAAGATGTTAGTCTGTGTGAGAAGGGTCAGGTCATTGGCATCAAGCAGAGAAAACATCTAAGGAGATGCAGAAACGACTGAAATTGGGTTAAGAACCGTCCAACTCAATATTTAAATTGGTCTGATGAGTCTAGATGGACCCTGTTCCAGAGTGATGGCGCATCAGGGTAAGAAGAGAGGCAGATGAAGTGATGCACCCATCATGCCTAGTGCCTACTGTATATGGCCTGTGGGGGCAGTGCTATGATCTGGGCTTGCTGCAGTTGGTCAGGTCTAGGTTCAGCAACAGGATGTGCTCCAAGAATGAGGTCAGCTGACTACCTGATTACCCTGAATGACCAGGTTATTCCATCTTCCCTGATGGCACGGGCATATTCCAAGATGACAGTACCGGGATTCACCGGGCTCAAATTGTGAAAGAGTGGTTCAGAGTCCAGACCTTTACCCTAATGAGAATCTTTGGGATGTGCTGGAGCAGGCTTTGTGCAGCGGTCAGACTCTACCATCATCTACGCAAGATCTTGGTGAAGCATCAATGCAACAATGGATGGAGATACCAATGAGCCGCAGAAGCTCATCGAAACAACGCCACAGCAAATGTGTGTCGTCATCAAAACTAGAGGAGCCAAAGGAGGTCCAACGGAATATTACAGTGTGTGACCTTTTTTTTTGAGCCATGCATTGTGTGTGCGTGCATGTGTGTGCATGTGTGTGTGTGTGTCTGTTTGTGCGTGTGTGTGTGTGTGTGTATGCATGTGCGTGTGTGTATGCGTGCATGTGTGTGTCTGTGTGCATGTGTGTGTGTGTGTGTGTGTGTGTGTGTGTGTCTGTTTGTGCGTTTGTGTGTGTATGCGTGCATGTGTGCATGTGTGTGTGTGTGCATGTGTGTGTGTGTGTGTGTGTGTGTGTGTCTGTTTGTGCGTTTGTGTGTGTATGCGTGCATGTGTGTATGTGTGTGTGCGTGTGTGTGTTTATTTGTGTTTATTTGTTTAGCAGACGCTTTTATCCAAAGCTATAGGGCATGTTGTGATCTGTGGGGGAAACCGGAGTACCCGGAGGAAACCCACGCTGTCATGTTCTGTGTCCCTTTGCTCCCCCAGCTCCTTCAGTTGCCACTCCAGGTTCTCCTTTTGTGCTCTCTTAACGCCCTCATGTGTCTGTTGTCAGCATTTCTGTTGTGTGTCTTAAGTTTTACCTCTAGCCCTCTGTAGACTTCCCCAGGTGTCCTTCTAATCATTCCCCATTCCTAATCATTCTTTATTTAGTCCTCCTCATCCGTCTGGTTATTAGTTGTTTGTTTTTGGCCCTCAGGCTTTAGGTTTAGTTTTGTGTTAATGTTTATCTGCCCTCTGGTCAAGCTCCTTCCCTTCCCATTGTGTTAATTGATTCCACCAGTTTCTCCTCAGCTCACACTCCTCACACCTGTCACCTGTTTCCCTGATTACCTCCCTCCTGTTTATAAGCCTTGTCTTGTCACTCTGTGTTTGTCGGTCCATTGTTGCTGTCAGTGTGTTTGTAGTTCTGTCAGTCACGGCCCTCTGTGTATAACCTGTTTTTTTTTTTTTTGATTTCCCGTACTCTATCTGGTTTTTGGTTTCTGGGCTCCCAGGTTTGGATTTAACTTTTGGTTTCTGGCTCACCTTAAAATGAACTATTTTTACTTAACCTTCATCCCTGCCTCGTGTCATCCTGGGTTCTGCAATTTGGTTTCTACCATCCCTCCGAATCGTGACACACGCATGCATGGGGAGAACACGCAACTCCACGCAGAAAGGCCTCAGCCGAGTTTCGAACCTGCAACCTTCGTGCTGCGAGGCAACGGTGCTAACCACTGCGTCACCATGGTGTGTGTGTGTGTGTGTGTGTGTGTGTGTGTGTGTGTGTGTGTGTGTGTGTGTGTGTGTGTGTGTGTGTGTGTGTGTGTGTGTGTGTGTGTGTGTGTGTGTGTGTGTGTGTGTGTGTGTGTGTGTGTGTGTGTCATACAGAGAGAATCATATTGTGTGTGTGCGTGATTCCAACACGCTGCGCCTGTGCGAGGGCTTCTGTCCCCGTGGGACCCAGAGTGGTTCACTCTTCCTATCAAACAGGAATTGAAACATCTGTTGAACCCGCTGCGTTCATTTCACCAAACCTCTCGTACGATCTGTCTTTCAGGTCTTTTTCCTGTCCTAAGCACCCGTTTACAGGAGAACACAGCATCTTCATGCTGGTCCAGTTATGGCTAAGAAGACATGTCCTGAGGGGCTGAAATGGGACAACTTGCTGAAAATCTGTCACAGCAGGCAGATAGAATCCAGACGTAGGACAGAACCGGGCCACGGGATAGAACCTAGTCTTAGAACAGAACCTTTTCAAAAGCCTCATCCATCAACGAGTAAGTTTCACAAATTTTTGTTTTGTCTTCTTGTATTTCTGGAGAAAATGTTAGAATTTGTTCCTTGTAAACTAAACTGGCGTAAACGTTCATCTCAAAACAGATCCGAAAATGCCTCACCGTGCTGCTTTTTCCTTTTTTTATTTAACCCCTCAGAACCAGTCCTGGTGGTTGTGGACCAGGTCAGAACCACGACCACCGAGTTGCCAACCGTGTTTCTGCTGAGTCAGACTCTGTGGATCTGTTTGGTTCTGATCACCCTGGCTTCTGCCATGGCTCTGATTCTTTGGTCGGTCTTATTCAGACGACAGAGCCGAGTCAACAACAACTCTGGTAAGGGTTAAAGTTCCTTTCTTATGTTTTTCTGTTTGGAAAAATTGTGAAATATTTCTTCAACTTCACTGGCAACTCGTCCAGGGTGTACCCCGCCTGTTTGCCCCTCCGTGTCCCTGCGTGGATGAGCGGGTAAAGATGGATGGATAGATAGATTTGTTACGGCAAAAGCAGAATATAGAGTAGTAATCAGTTATGTTTGGAAAGTATTCACCAAGCCCCCAGTTGTAAAGGTAACACGAGTCTCAAAATGTAAAATTAAAATGTTTTATGAAGTAAACATGAATTTTTTTCCACGCATCAACCCAGTGGAGCGTTTGCAGGGCCTCTGGGTACTGGGTACTGGGTACTGAGCCATCTGAAGGGCTACCAGGTTTAAACAATATTGACTTTTCAACTAGAAGAGATCAGAGTTGAATTCAACTCCATACATAATGAACATATTTGAAAGTGTTTTAAATTTTTCTTTTTTTAAGAATTTGTAGTTTTTAAATTATATTAATGCATTGGTGATTCAAATAGATGGCAGCAAAAATTTTAAACAAATTTTTGGACTGGTGCTATTTAGATAGAAGGCCTGCGGGCACCTGGCATGGTTCCTGGGGGCCCCATGGTGCCCGCGGGCCCGAGGTTGGTGACCCCGTTTAGATTTGAGTATTACGTGGAGCAGACATGTGAGAGTTATGTGGAGGAAACAGAGTTGCAACCAGGCAGGTGTTGAAGTGTGACATTCATCATGGCAGAAACTCCAGTTTCTGTTCTCGTCTTCTACAACATCCCTTGGGTCGTCACCGCTCTATTCTAGTGTCAGCACACATCTGCTGTTTGGACAGGACACGTTCGGTCTCAATAAAACTTTAAAAACCCACAAGCTGGTGTTTCTTCCTGTTGATTGTCGTTGTCGTCGTCTTCCTCCGCTTATCCGGGTCCGGGTCGCGGGGGCAGCATCCCAACTAGGGAGCTCCAGGCCGTCCTCTCCCCAGCCACCTCCACCAGCTCCTCCGGCAGGACCCCGAGGTGTTCCCGGACCAGATTGGAGATGTAACCTCTCCATCGTGTCCTGGGTCGACCCGGGGGCCTTCTGCCGGCAGGACATGCCCAAAACACCTCCCCAGGGAGGCATCCAAGATGAATCCTGACCAGATGCCTAAACCACCTCAACTGGCTCCTTTCGATCCGGAGGAGCAGCGGTTCTACTCCGAGTCCCTCCCGAATGTCCGAACTCCTCACCCTATCTCTAAGGCTGAGCCCGGCCACCCTACGGAGGAAACTCATTTGGGCCGCTTGTATCCGCGATCTCGTTCTTTCGGTCATTACCCAAAGCTCATGACCATAGGTGAGGATTGGTACGTAGATCGACCGGTAAATCGAGCCTGGCTTTCTGGCTCAGCTCCCTTTTCACCACGACAGATCGGCTCAGCGTCCGCATCACTGCAGACGCCGAACCAATCCGCCTGTCGATCTCCCGATCCCTCCTACTCTCTCTCGTGAACAAGACCCCGAGATACTTAAACTCCTCCACTTGAGGTAGGACCTCTCCCCCGACCCGGAGTTGGCAAGCCACCCTTTTCCGGTTGAGAACCATGGTCTCAGATTTGGAGGTGCTGATCCTCATCCCAGCCGCTTCACACTCGGCCACGAACCTACCCAGCAAGAGCTGAAGGTCAGAGCTGGATGAAGCTAGGAGGACCACATCACCCTCAAACAGCAGAGACGAGGTTCTCCTGCCACCAAACTCGACACACTCCACACCACAGCTGCGCCTAGAAATTCTGTCCATAAAGGTAATGAACAGAACCGGTGACAAAGGGCAGCCCTGGTGGAGTCCAACCCTCACCAGGAACAGGTCCGACTTACTACCGGCTATGCGGACCAAACTCACGCTCCTCTGGTAAAGGGACTGAATGGCCCTTAACAGAAAGCCACCCACCCCATACTCCTGGAGCGTCCCCCACAGGGTGCCCCTGGGGACACGGTCATAAGCCTTCTCCAAATCCAGTAAACACATGTCGAATGGTTGGGCAAACTCCCATGCCCCCTCCATCACCCTTACAAGGGTATAGAGCTGGTCCACAGTTCCACGGCCAGGACGAAAACCACATTGCTCCTCCTCAATCTGAGATTCAACTATCGATCGGACCCTCCTCTCCAGTACCTTGGCGTAGACCTTTCCAGGGAGGCTAAGGAGTGTGATCCCCCTATAGTTGGAACACACCCTCAGGTCACCCTTCTTAAAGATGGGGACCACCATCCCGGTCTGCCACTCCACAGGAACTGCCCCCGATGACCACGCAATGTTGCAGAGACGTGTCAACCATGACAGCCCTACAACATCCATAGCCTTGAGATACCCAGGATGAATCTCATCCACCCCCGGGGCTCCGCCGCTGTGTAGTTGTTTGACTACCTCAGCAACTTCTGCCCCAGAGATTGGACAGTCCATCCACGCACACACAATTCATGGCCCATCCTGTGGATTGGAAGAAGTAAAACTTGTTTGCAAAGAGAAATAGGTTTGTATCTGTGAAGCTATGGGGAATCTGGTTTCCCTCCAGAATGAGACTTGGATTGAAAACATTTCTTATTCGAGCAGCTGTTGTGATCGGGACTGAAAGCCTGAAACACAACTGAAGGTTCATGTTGTAAAAACAGGCAATAATGACATAGTTTAGGATCGATGATACACTTCCTGGTCACAAAAGAAGTCTCCACCAAAACAAGTCATACGCATCCATCCTGTTTCCCTGTATGACCCCCAACCCCAGCTCCTCAAAATTTAATTCAAGAATACTTTATTAATCCCAGAGGGAAGTTAGAGCTCCTACCCACACACTCAATAAAACTGATTAATTACAAACTTCATACAGAGTTTTAATTTTACTATTGGGTGTTTTGGGGATTTTATTAATGTAATTTTTACAAATGATCCTGTTAACCTCACATCCACACGCACTCGCACAGATAAAATTGTGGCGAACCCCTGAAATCTCTAGTGACCCCTTTGGGGAGCCGCAGACCCCAGGTTGGGAACCACGGCTGTAACCACCTTTAGTTGTGATTATGGTGCATTTTCACTGTGGCCTTGTTTCAATAATCATCTGAGTTTTCACAAAACTATTCTTCGTCCAGCGTTTCATTCACTTTTCACCACGACTCAACATTTCATAGATCTGTCAAACTCATTCAGCGCTCCTCAGACCTGTAAGAATTCAATCATTTAGATCACTTTAACCCTTGAAATGCCTGTTTGATGACTCAATATCATACCTGTAATTTGTGAGAGAAAAAAACTTTATTTTCCCCCAAATTTTTATTTTATTTTTATTTTTATGGGTGCCTGGGAACAGTTTATTTAACATTTACTTAAAGAGGAGTTGTGCCATCTCGTTTTCATGAGGGTCCTCTTAAGCAAAATTAAGAAAACAAAGAAAGTACAATTAATTAAAGCAAGAAATATTTTAAGAAATTTAAATGAATAAATAATTATCAAAAACATTTACAAACCACTCACACACTCAGAACAGCTCGCACAGTTCACCCCCCACCCCAAATCTCAGTACATCCAAGCAGAAAGAAAGCACCACTACAGTATACACATTTGTATGCAATAAACACCCCGCCTCCATCCAAGGGCGCCCCCAAGGGGTGGCCAGGGCCACCTCTAGAAAATTGCTGGCCCCCCCAGGAAAAGCCAATGTTAACAAATCATATTTATGTTCAGTCAAACCACATATTAATCTTGTTTATTCAAGACATAATTGTAAAATAAAATAAAATATTACAATTAATGCATAAAGAAATAATCAGAATTTTAAGAATACATATGTTTCTGCTGCTCAGAAGTTTTTATCTCCATAGTTTTATTAACACAGCAACAGGTGAATAAACCTAAAAATAAATGTTTTTAATTAAATTTGGGATAACATTTTAAATAACTGAAATGTATTTTTCTAAAATGTTTGTTTGTAAAATTTAAGTTTAATGTTTTGGATACCTACTGTTATTTTAATTAAAACAAATAAAGGTGCAATGCAGCACGTCGCCACAGACTAAATTCAACCAGAGTTACCACGAGGACCAATTTGGTGTGCCACCCCAAAAATTTTTTTGGCCCCATCTGGCCACCCCTATCAAAATTTTCTGGAGGCGCCCCTGCCTCCATCCACAAGGATGCAAAAAAATGACTTGAGCTGAATTGTTTTCCAGAAAATGTCTCTGTTTTATTACACTGCTAGAACTTGAGGAGGGTGTGTTTTAGGAGGGAACTCTGTTCCAGGATGAGTCGGCCCAGCACCAAAACAAGCCCTGAGTGCATTATCCGAGCAGATCCTGCCACCGGGTCTTAATTACAGAAAATCTCTATGAAATTACACCAGTTTAATATGTTTTGTTAATGTAAATTCTATAAATTTAAAGATGAAAAAGTTTCTGCTTCATCATTTAGCCACATGTGACTCTGAGATAAGAAAGGGAAAATGGCCCTGAAGGAATGTTTCCTTATAGGATTTACAAATAAAGGAGTATGTAGTAACAATTTTTCATCTTTTGAGTTTATTTGCAATTTTCTTGAGTCATTTGTTGAATTAATTATGACTAAAAATGAAACCGTCACAAAAACATCTCCACCTGCATGCAGCTGTGTGGTAAAAGCCTAAAGACTCGTGTGTTGCTTCCATTTAAAATTTCTGTTGTTACTGATTCTGGTTCCAGTCTAGTTGTGTTTGTATTTAATCAACATAAGTATAATTTATTATGTTTGTGTTCCAGAGGATCCAGCACCAGAGCAAGACCTGCTTCAGAAAACAAAACCATTTAACCCTCAGTATTCTGAAAAAGGTCAGGCATGTCGGGGACCAGCTGGGGCCTCCTCAGCCTGTCATCAGTTGCATCCTGGAGCCCAAACGGCGCCTCAGTGGGAGGACGGAGTTACAGTTTGCAGAGGCCCCGAGAGGCACAGTGGCAAAGAGGAAGGTGGAGGGCTGCATGTGTGCAGCAATATGGCCGACCACAGAGTCCCACTTCCTGCCACAGAGCTGGGAGGCACTGCACTGGTTACAACTAAGACCCTGTAGGGTTGTGAGTTGTTGAAGTCCCATAACAGAGAAAAACTTTCATTCTGGGACAAAAACAAACTCTTTACGTTGCAAATCTCCTGATTTTATTATGAGGTTTTAGCAGGTTAAAGCTCGGCTGTCGTTATGTAGCATGACCGTTCGTCACCACACAACAACTCTGTGGTGAGATTTCATCCACCATGTTTTTATGGTTCTCAAAAACTGTCCCAATAATCATATTTTCTTTATTTTATTAGATTAAAAATATATTAAACTGCATAATAATATGACTTCAGTGAAAATAAACATTTATAGTGTGTGACTTTTAAGACAAAACATTCAAAAAAGCACTGTGAATCTTATTTCAACTATTTAATAAACCACAAAACAAAAATTCCTAAAATGTTCAAAACATTATTTTGACTCACTAATTTATTAGATACACTTTAAAGCAAACATAAAGCCATCCTGGAATAAATGTTTGCTTCATTATTATCACAAACATGAGATGCTGATGAGCTATATTTATATTTACAGATGTGGAAACAGCTGTTGGTACCCACAAGGCTCGCTGAAACTTGAAACTGAGAAAATAGGAAACGTAATGAAAATCAGCTAATGAAATTAGAAAGTAACGTTGGATTTTCCTTTACCGGTTTCCTGTACACGTATGTATTTATGTTTACTAATATGTGTCTCAGACTATTTATGTGACTTTGCTACTTTGGTCTCTGCAGCAGCCCAAACTTACAAGATACGTTTTTACAAACTTAAAACGTTTCCTGGAGACATCTTGCACATAAAAATCTATGAGGTGCCATTTGTAAAGTCAAACAGTTATATCTTATCAGCAATATTTTGGTTATTTTGTCTATTATTAGAAAAAAATAAGTCATATTTTCATTGTTATTCAGACATTTATAAATGTTAAAGATCCCAAATAAATATTTAGTTAGAAAGCTAAATATTAAATTTCTATTTAGTTTACAAACTTAAAATTTAGCCACCAATTTAATTTTTATTTTCTAACATAAATATTTAGATCCCAGCTAAATATTTATGTTGGGGCTAAACCTAAATATTGATTTTACTAACTAAATATTTATCTCCAAATTACATACATAGCTGGTATCTAAACATTTAGTTTGTAAATGAGGAGTAGACCCGCTCAGGCATCTGGTCAGGTTGCCTCCAGGACGCCTCCCTGGTGAGGATTTCCGGGCACGTCCAACCGGGAGAAGACCTAAAGGTAGACCCAGGACACGGTGGAGGGACTATGTCTCTCACCTGGCCAGGGAACGCCTTGGGATTCCCCCTGAGGAGCTGGCCCAAGTGGCTGGGGAGAAGGAAGTCTGGGCCTCTCGCCTTAGGCTTCTGCCCCCGCAACCCGACTACGGATAAGCGGATGAAAATGGATGGATGGATGGAAATTAAATATTCAGTTAGTAAACTAATTATTTCTTTTACGAACTAAATATTTAGGTATAAATTAAATATTTAGCCTGCTAACAAAAATTTAGAAATGTATGAATAACAGTGAAAATGTGACTTTAAAAAATGAACTGCCATGTTTTTTCTCTAAAAAAAATGGAACTCCATAAAAAAACAGTGGACCTAAATAAAGCAATCCTCTATCTTTACTCATCTTTATCTGATGAAAACGACTATGCATTCTTCTGATTGGTCCAGGTTCATATTAAAGTCTTTATAGTTTTATATACACAACAGTTTCCTCATGCAGGAACAAGCAAAGATTTCTTTGGACTCTGTGTTATGGAAAAGTTTGGGGAAAGTAAGTCAGGTTTGATGAACTGCAGTAAACACAACGTGAAACTGCCACTTTATCAGCTAATAAAAGTTCCTTTTCTGTCAGGCTGTGTATAAAACTCGACCAACACTCTAAATGTCCCACTCTCTCTCTCTCTCTCAGGAAGCTAGAAGAAGAAGAAGCTAGAAGCTAATAGCTAATAGCTAGAAGCTAATAGCTAGAAGCTAGAAGAAGAAGAAATACCATTTCTATAGCGCCTCTCAAGATAAAAATCACGAGGTGCTTCACAAAAAACAAAAAAAAATTCAAATATTAAAAATTATTTAGAAAATGATTCCAAATATATTTAAAATGAGCAAAAAATAGACAATTGTGATTAAAAAATGTGAAGAAAGAGAGAGAGTGAATAGGAAAGAGGGAAATCAGTGGATCCTGAGGAAGGTGGAATAGGTGGGGAGAGCAGAACAAAGAGAGAGGGGATGAAGAAGGTCACACCAAAACCAGCTTGAACAAGTGAGTCTTCAGCTGCTTTTTAAAGGAGACCACTGAGTCCACTGATCTCAGGCTCAGGGGGAGAGAGTTCCAGAGTCTGGGGCCACAGCAGCAGATGATCTGTCACCTTTGGTCTTTAGCCTGGTGCTGCACAACCAGTAGGCTTTGGTCACTGGACCTCAGGGACCTGCTGGGGGTGTAGGGACTAAGAAGATCACCAATGTAAGATGGTGCTCTTCTTCTAACACATTATAACCAAAGCAGTAGACATGCAGGAGTCTTAGTCCATTCAGAGGAAAACACATGTTAAGGTTTAGGAATTATTTGAACTGAATTGTGAAATCTGCGCATTCTTCAGTTGGTTAAGTGGTTCAGGTTTGTGTGAGGAACAGAAACGCGTAAAAACCCAGAAGCGCCACCGCTCCTGGTCCATTTTCCACCGCTGTCGCCATCTGAAGCAGACCCAACCTGTGACTCACACAGTCGATGACAATCATCATCAAGCCCTTGCCACTAAGCCTCTGTGTGCTGCGATCACAAGTAGGTGCTGGGGTTTTCAGTCACGGCCAGGTGGAAGTACTCCGGTGAGCTTTCCTTCTGCAGGCTGCCGTGGGTGTCTCTCCAACTGACTTTGGCGGACAAGGTCTTCCTCTCCTCAAAGGCCTCTTTCCCGTCTCCACGCTTCTTCAGACTGGAAACGATCATCTCTGCCAAATCCTGCTGCAGCCGCTGGAAGTTCTCACTGAAGCAGAAACATCAGCATCTTTAACCCAAGTTACACATCCAGTTTAAACATCCAAGAACTCCAGATAGACGTTACTCACGCTGTTGGTGGTGTCGGCAGGTTGTATTTCGACCCTGTCACCCCTGTTAACCAGTACGTCACCTCTTTACCTTTTCCCTGTGGATCACACACATATGGACACAGAGACACAGACATGTTTGAATCCTGCATGATTGAGCACTAAAAATCAGACTAAGATTAAAAAAAATGCACCTTCAGGTAAGTTTCTCCTCTTCTCTCAAACTCAAAGTTGCAGTCTGCCCTCTGCAGGATGTTGATGGTGGACTGGCTCGTGTGAATCCTCAAAGCTGGAAGAGGAAATCAGGACCTTACTTGGTTTAAGTTAACAGAAGAAAACTTTGAAGTTTTGAGATGTGCGTATCTTACGCAGGCCTGTGGACTCCATGCGTGACGCCGTGTTGACCGTGTCTCCAAAGAGACAGTAGCGAGGCATCTTGTTTCCAACCACTCCAGCTGCACAGGGGCCTGATTACAAATACATTAGTTAAAGCAGCAACGCTCCATTGTAGCCCCCGCAGGTTCACCACTGAGTAGAACAGTTTTGTGTCTGGCCAATCACAGCGCTCTACGTTAGTTGGGCGGGCTTAAAGCTACAGCTATGATGGATGGAAAAGGGCTTTGGCATCAACTTTGGACTGTTTTGTGCTTTTCGTTCAGAGATGAGCAGACAGACGTACATAAGTCTTTTATTTTGAAAAATGATATATTTACCAGGGATGACAGGCTTGCCAACTCCGGGTCGGGGGAGAGGTCCTACCTCAAGTGGAGGAGTTTAAGTATCTCGGGGTCTTGTTCACGAGTGAGGGTAGGAGGGATCGGGAGATCGACAGGCGGATCGGTTCGGCGTCTGCAGTGATGCGGACGCTGAGCCGATCTGTCGTGATGAGGAGGGAGCTGAGCCAGAAAGCCAGGCTCTCGATTTACCGGTCGATCTACATCCCAATCCTCACCTATGGTCATGAGCTTTGGGTAATGACCGAAAGAACGAGATCACAGATACAAGCGGCCGAAATGAGTTTCCTCCGTAGGGTGGCCGGGCTCAGCCTTAGAGATAGGATGAGGAGCTCGGACATTCGGGAGGGACTCTGAGTAGAACCGCTGCTCCTCCAGATCGAAAGGAGTCAGGTGAGGTGGTTTGGGCATCTGGTCAGGATGCCTCCTGGACGCCTCCCCGGGGAGGTGTTTCGGGCATGTCCTGCCGGCAGGAGGCCCCCGGGTCGACCCAGGACACGTTGGAGAGGTTACATCTCCAATCTGGTCCGGGAACGCCTTGGGGTCCTGCCGGAGGAGCTGGTGGAGGTGGCCGGGGAGAGGACGGTCTGGAGCTCCCTAGTTGGGATGCTGCCCCCGCGACCCGGACCCGGATGAGCAGAGGAAGACGACGACAATGACACCGATACCAGTATTGGTATCGGTAAAAGTTAACAGATACCAGTAACCGATACCAATGCAGTTGCTTGAAAGTGACTACTGTAACTTGTCATTTCTGTTCACCTAATATTTTAGTTTTGTGTTCATTTATATTAACATATTTTACTTTTTATCTACATCACAGTCTTTTCATATTGAAAACAGAGAAGAAAAAGAACATCTATTCCAATTCGTTGCATTTTCTTGTGTGGTAGAAGTATCGGTAATCGGTATTGGTGAGTACTCAGATCCAAGTATCGGTATCGTAACAGTTTGGAAAAAAGTGGTATTGTTGCATCCCTAATATTTACGTCTGCTTATGACGAACTGCACCGTTCACTGACATTCATAGAGTTACACTGCCCTTTGCTCTGATTGGTCCAAGTGTTGCATGTGGAGACAGTTGATAGACAACGTCTCCCATCGTGCGAACTAGGAGTTAGCTGCTTCAATGGTCCATGGCCAGAATATATATTTACATATATAACCCTAACCATACATATACGATGGCTTGCCAGGCTAGAATTATGTATGACAACCAGCTAAATAATTGTAATGCTCCCATTTTACCACAGTACGTTTATTTTTTGTGATTTGCAGGATGGAATTATTTATACTACAAAGAAGCTTTTGTGCCACCTCTGAGAAAAACAAAAGAAAAGAAAAAAGGGACAAAGTGTCAAGACAAAAGTCCAATTTATATTAGGAAATCGGATAAAATGTCAAGAAAAAGTTCTTATTTGAAAAATAAATTTGAGAAAAAACTTTTAAACCACAATGTGAAGAAAAAAAATCTTACTAGTATTTTGAGGACCAGAAAGGCAAGAACAGACTCACCCAAGAAGGTAAACCCTAAGCCAACTGTGTGTGCTCTATTTTATTTTATTATTTAAAACGTTGGTTGTGGTTTTCATCCTGAGTTAACCATAAAAAATAAGGTTATTTATTGATAGGAGGCACCATCTTCTGGCTTCTTCTGCAGCAGTGTTCTCCAGCAGAACTTCAAGGACTTCTCACCTCTGTCAGTGCGCCCCAGGGCAGCTGTGGCTACATCGTAGCTCATCACCATCAGTGTGTGAATGTGTGTGTGAATGGATGAATGATACACTGTAGTGTAAAGCGCTTTGGAGTCCTTACTCTGAGAGGCGCTATACAAGTGCGGGTCATTTATCATTCTTTCAGTTATCCACAATAAACGTTTTTAAGCATCGGAAGTTAATAGAAGTAGTTTCCTGATATTATTCCTCAATAATGGGACTAGGCTTAAAACTAGAGGAGGTTGGACCTTTTCGGTAGCAGACCCAGAATTATGGAATGATCTTCCATTAGCTCTCCATGTCGGTAGGTGTTTGTAAGAAGGTGCTGAAGACCCATTTTTATAACCTGGCTTTTAATTCTGTGTGTTAGTTGCTGTTATTTTCATTTTCTTGTATTTTGTGACTTTTTTTTATGTATTTATTGTTTTTATTTGTTTTCTTATCTTAGTCCTGTTCAGCACCTTGGTGGCATAACATATGTCCATAGGGCAGAGGTGTGACCAAGTCACTGCTTTGCAAGTCACAAGTAAGTCACAAGTATTTCCAGTCAAGTCTCGAGTCAAGTCCAAGTCAAAGACAGCCAAGTCCAAGTCGAGTCCAAAGTCAATGATATGGAAGTCCAAGTCAAGTCCAAGTCCTTAACTTTGGATTTTCAAGTCATATTCCAGTCATCTGTCCAACTTCAATTTACTGACAATGATAAAATAAATTCCAGAAATAAAGCTTCTTAAAGCTTCATTTATTTGCTCAAACAAGCAGGAAGTACAACGGAAATAGATTATAAACAAAGTGCTTCTGCAGTTAGCGGTGAATCAAACCCAGAAAGAAGAATGATTTGTGATTGTTGTCCATGTCGCGCCATTTCTGTGCTAAAATATCAGATATGCTCAAGTCATTATCAAGTCAACAGATGCAAGTTGATTCAAGTCGCAAGTCATTGGCGTTCAAGTCCAAGTCAAGTCGTAAGTCTTTAAAGCATTTATCAAGTCAAGTCAGAAGTCATTAAAATAATGACTCAAGTCTGACTCGAAGCCAAGTCATGTGACTCAACTCCACACCTCTGCTGTGAGGTGTGTTTATAAATAAAGATGATGATGATGATGTGATGATGAATAAACATCAAAATGAGTGTTTCAGATGTTTTGAGACGTGTGTATGTTTGAGTCTTTTATTGTGAAGGACTAAAAGAAGCTTCTCTGGGTTGCTGAAAAATGGCAGCAAGACGGCATCAAAAAGACTCGTTCGTTCATCATCTGAGCTGCTGCTCATTCTGCCTTTACTCTCATCAGGCCAAGTGTAGTTATGCTCTTCAGCCACCAGATGTCAGCAGCTCAATGACAAGTGTCACTGTCGCCTCTGTCAGTGGCCCCAGGGCAGCTGTGGCTCCATTGTAGCTCATCACCATCAGTGTGTGAATGGATGAATGATACACTGTAGTGTAAAGCGCTTTGGAGTCCTTACTCTGACAGGCGCTATACAATCGCGGGTCATTTATCATTTAAGTGACAGGACAAAAAAATGTACAGAAGCATTAAAAAAAATGAAGTCGCTACACTTAGTTAAAGTTTTACTTAAATGAGAAAATATGGAGAAAAGGATCAGGAATATCTGGTACCTGAATGCACGCCAATCCGGATCCACAGAGGAATTCCAGGTAAGTGCTTTAACTCAAACGTCCCCACGAAGGACAGGATGTCCAAGGCCATGTGGGCAATGTCCACCGCGTGTCTGTCTCCATTACGTTTGGGCAGACCTGATGCAACCATGTAGGCATCTCCTATTGTCTCAACCTGAAGTGTAAATGTTACATTTTAATATTTTTATGGTTGCAAGCAGGAAACATCTTACTAGCTGTAGACAATTCATCAAGTGTGAGTGATGTCTTTCTACTTTCTACCCTAATCCAGACCCTTAATTTTGATCGTTTCCCTGCTTCAACACACCTGGTCTCCATGAGCAGGTGATTGGCAGCCTTCTGCAGGGCTTTATGAGTAGCTGAGCAGATGATTCAACATCTGAATCGACTTGGAGAAGAAAAACAACTAAAACATGCAGGCTACTGGCATTCCAGGACCAAAACTGGGCAACCTTGGTGTATAGTTTTGGAAATTCTGGGTCGGAGAGGGATGCTGAGCTAACGGGTTTATTTAAATGGGGTCAAGGCAATTGTGGACTGCAGCTGTCTTAAAACAACTCCAATCTCAAAGATGTTCTTGTATGTTTACATTAAAAAAACCTTCATGTAGTATTCATAATTAACCCAGTAGAATAGTATTATTTACATGCAGGAAATGCCTCAACGTGCTATTTAGCTAAAATGTAACTAGAAAATAACTGTGAAGTCAGGATTCATGAAACGTTTGCGTGGCCTGCTTTTATCTTTGGAAACTACAGTGATCCCTCGCTACTTCGCGGTTCGTTTATCGCGGATTCACGACTTTGCGGATTTTTTCTTTGGAGCCTTATTTAAGGGAAATTTGCCGATTTGCGGTATTTTTCACCGATTCGCGGTATTTTTCTATGCGAAATATCAAGAAATTCCTGGTTTTTTTCATCAATTTCATCATAAAATGCACTTTTTGTAATAAAACTATAAAAAAACCAAGCAAAAAAATTTTTTTCTTGAGTTTTACCCACAAAAAGAGAATGTGATCATACGATAATTCAATATAGTACTGTACTGTAAATATGGTGTCCCTACTTCGCGGATTTTCACCTATCGCGGCCAGGTCTGGAACGCATCTACCGCGATAAACCAGGATAGATTTGTTTTAATAACCCAGGATTCAACTTTGTTCTTACTCTTACTTAGACTAGCCACTAGCAAGTTAATCCAATCAGAATCAGTCTTTATTTCTTCCTACAAAGGCTGTTCATCAGTGCAATCTGCAAGAAGTGAGACACTAATGATCCATAATAATCTGATTTACACAACTCAGGCATGCATAAGTTTATAGCGGTGCTGTTTCCTTTCAGAAACTTTTTACAAGATGTGAAAATGACCTTGTAGACGTCATGATGGTCCAGTATGCTGTCAAAGTTGTTGTAGATGTCGTTCAGCATGTCCACGACCTCCATGGGGGTGCTGTAGTGGCAGAGCGTGGTGAAACCCACAATGTCGCTAAAATAGATGGTCACCTGCTTGAAAAGCTCAGGCTCTACTCTGCCCGTCTCCTTCAGGGAGCGAACCACGGGACTGAGGGAAGACGGACAGGACAAAATATTATCACGTGTTCATAAAGATGTGTTTACCTGTCATTTGAGATGCAGTTACGCTCCCATCCTGTAGTGAAACAGCAGGTAAACCTACCCAGGCAGCAACATGAAGTTAAGGCGATCTGCTCGGTCCCTCTCTGCTTTGTACAGAGCGGTTCTCTCTTCCACCAAACGCTCCAGAGTCCTGGAGTACATCTGCAGACGTCGGATCAGGTTGTCCATGTACGTCTCAGTGGCCTGGTTGTGCAAGTTACTTTGGCACAGCAAAGATAGATGAATGTTATTGACTTCGGTGGAAAAAACACCTTTTTTACATTCACTGAATAGTTTTTGATTTCAGGGAATGGAGCAGATTGCACAAACCCGTCCACATGAATCCATGATGCATGTTGTAGACGTCAAACAAACAATATGTCGGGTTACCTGAAAATCTTTCCAAGCGTTAACTCAATTTTCTTGAAATCCGGCCTCCGCTCAGGGTCTTCATCCCAACAGTTCTTTATCAGCATGTACAACTGTACACATATGAGAATAAAGCCCTTTACTTAGCTGTAATTGGAATGATTAACCTTACATTATTAAGTGGAAATGCAGTCAGGCAGTGTGAGAGGACTGGTTTACCTCGACCTCTCGGTCTGATGCACCTTCAAAGTTAAGATCAGGTCTGAAGAAAGTGTTGTCTCTGGGAAACTGCACTCTGTGCATTTTCTCTGAGGAATTACAAAATAATACATTAAACAAATGATGACTGGATGACGTTTATTTGCACATACATGTTTCCTTAGTTGCAGGCAGCAGGCTTGTTTATAATTCCATTTTTTGGTTCTTTTTTAAAACACAGAAAAGGTTTCTTTTTACCTTACTTGCTGACAGTTTCGTTCCCGGCTGCAAAACGTCCTCAGAGCTGACGCTGATGGTGGCGTCACTTCCTACTCCGTTTATCCGCGGGCAGCAGAGGACGTTGTCGCCCTCTGCTGCCCGCTCTCCCCTCTCCGATGATGCAGTCCCATGCACGATCCAATGAGTAAACCCCATCGTCTCTGTTCATGGTCCCACATCCACGTCTCCTTATCTCGATAGCTTCTTTTATCCATCTTTTGTATTTCTGATGTTCGGTGTTTATGATCCTTGTGTTGTCCCAGTCCTTTATATGGTTTCCTCTTATGATCTGTTACGGCTGACTTCTTTATTGTGCTTTCTGCTTCTTCTTTTGCTGCTCTTGTGCGTCTTTGACTTGTTTCTTTCTCGCACTCCTTTCTATGTTCTATTGTTCGTGTGTGGAGTTGGCGTCCGGTTTCTCCTACGTATGTTTTATTGCAGAGTTTGCATGGGATTTCGTAAATGACTCCACATTTAAGTCCAGCTGGTGTCTTGTCTTTTGGATGCACTAGTCTGTTTCTAACTGTTGTGTATGGTTTTGTTGGTGTGTTTATGTTGTGTTTTTCATTGTTGCTCTTATTTTTTCTGTTATGCCTTTGATGTATGGTAGGGTTATCACTGGTTTTGGTTCTTGTCTTTCTGGGTTTCTGGTTCTTTGCTTTGGTTGTTCTTTTCTTTCTGTTGTTGTGTGTTGTTTTCCTTTCTTTATCGCCCATGTCGGGTTTCCGCAGGTCTTTAAAGCGTGTTGTATGTGTTTGTCCTCTTGTTTACGGTCTCTTTCTTCGGTTATCATGTTTGCTTGGTGATATAATGTTCTGATTACTGACATTTTGTGTATAGTAGGGTGTTTTGATACCATGAACAGAGACGTTGGGGTCTACACTTTGGATCGTGCATGGGACTGCATCATCGGAGAGGGGAGAGCGGGCAGCAGAGGGCGACAACGTCCTCTGCTGCCCGCAGATAAACGGAGTTGGAAGTGACGCCACAATCAGCGTCAGCTCTGAGGATGTTTGCAGCCGCTGTGACGACCCTCGTCCCCTCGGTCCGTCCTCTCATCCCAACCTGAACCTTTTGTCCCAGCTGCAAAGGATCCAGCACCAGGGACAGCGCCAGGAGTGGCCTGCTCACACTTTCCGGCGCCCCAGCGCCCTTTCAGGACCTCGGAGAGAGGCACGCCGGCAAAGACCGCAACTGACCTGCATCAGCCATCAAGCAGCTCCCGGGACTTAAAAGGAGGAGAAACAGACAGTCGAGGAGATCCTGGATTAGCCGGAGATTCTCCCTAGCTCACGGACACGGTTTGCTACCGTTACCACTCGGGTTTAAGGTTATTTTCACCGTTACCGTTTGGGTTTAAAGTTGTTGCTAAGGTTCCAGGATTAGCCTGGGTACCCTCTGAGCTGTCTCACACGCTTTGCTAAAAGGGTTTTTTCTTGTTTATCCTCTAGTGAAGGATTCAGCTGACTGAACGTCAGTTTCTGATCGCGGTGGTTTTCTTTTATCCCCATAGGACTTCTGAGCCGGGGATATTTATCGTTTAGGAGGTTGTTGTTTGAGTTTGGCAGGATGCCTTTTCATAAGCAGTTTGGCTGCTTATGTTTTTAGTTTCTATTAGTATTGTTTATGCCGTTAGCAGCGGACACCTTGTGTTAATAAATCCTTTTGTTTTTACACTAACCTCCTCATCCTTTATCCACTCACACACACCTACACCTCTTTTCTTGTGTTAGTCCCCTCATCATCCTAGACCTTCAGAGGGGGCGTAACAGCCGCCAACAAAATGTCAGCAAGCAAGGTAAAAAGAAACATTTTCTGTGTTTTAAAGAAGAACCAAAAATGGAATTAGAAATCAGACACAGCAAGAACACACCAAAGATGCTTGTTTATAGATAAGTAAAGAAGACCTACCTATAGTATTAGAGCAGCATTGCGTATAAAACGGGGTTTGCCTCAGGATGATCTCATGGGCGATGATTCCGTAGCTGTAGACATCGCCTTTCTGTGACACATCATTTTTACGAAGATGCTCCGGGGCTGTCCACAGATCTATGAGGACAACTAGACCTGAGTCTCTGACTAAGATCAACAATAAACCTCAGTGATGATCATACCTCTGCCTGGCTTCAGTAAGGTGTGGCAGCCAAAGTCTGTGATCTTGACCACCATGCGGTTATCAACCACACAGTTAGTAGACTTCAGACGACCGTGGATCTGAATGTTACTTGAGTGAAGGTACGACATGCCCTACGATGCACACATTTTTATAATGGGAATGTAGATGAATAACAATAGTTCCAGAATACTTTTATCAAAGAAGATGTTTAAAATCAAGTGAAATTAAGATTGTAAACAGGGATTGTTAGTCACAGCCAAACAGTACCTTTGCTATGTCATACATGACCGATATCTTATACTCCATGTCCATGAAGGTCTCATCTGGGTAGGATATCCTGTCACTGAGAATGTACTGGGGAAAAAACTACAGATGAACTTTATGTTTCATCACTTTTATGACTTTTTATGACTCTGCTGCTTTCAGTTAATGAAAAATGGAAATATGGACGTAATTTTCACTTTAGAAGTGGGGGGTACACGGGGGTGGGGGGTGGGGAGTGGGGGGGGGGGGTATCTTTACAATATGCTTTAATGGGAAACAGGCTTCAACACAAACGGTTGTTTTCCGCTTGGTCCTAGAACTCAACCAGTGTCAATTCATGGGCTGCATGGTGGCGTAGTGGTTAGCATTGTTGCCTTGCAGCATGAAGGTCGCAGGTTCGAAACTCGGCTGCGGCCTTTCTGCGTGGAGTCGCGTGTTCTTCCCATGCATGCGTGGGTTTCCTCCGGGTACTCCGGTTTCCCCCACAGAACACAACATGCCCTACAGGTTATTAATTGTAAGTCGCTTTGGATAAAAGCGTCTGCTAAATAAATAAACATAAACATTTAATATAGCATAATATTGTTTTTGGATGGTAAAAATTGCAGGGGTCAAAACTTGAAAAAGTGTGTGTGTGGGGGGGGGGGGGGGACATGTCCCCCCTGTTCCCCCCCAAAATTACGTCCATGCACGCAGTGAATGCTAAAATAACAACATATAAAGAAACATGTTTTCTAAAAGATCTGTGGTTTATGTTCTGTTTGCTACAGAAGTTTCACAAGTCGTGACGTACCTTTTGTCTAGTTAAGCCACTGGAAATCTGCACGTGACTTATTTTGAAAGTTTCCATATTGTGGCGGCCCTGCCACTGATAGGCCGGCAAGGCCGCATTGCACTCTGGGGGGAGGGTAAATTGGGGTTGTTTATTCAGTTTGTGGTGTTCTGAGGGTCGTTTTGTTCGGGGTTATGTTAGTGTTGTTTGTTTCAGTTTGGAGTTCACGCTGTGTTGTTCTTATCCGGTGCCTGTTGGCACCGCGAGTTAAACGCACGTGTGGGGGGATGAAAAGGGGAGCCATCCAGCCATTAAAAGTGTTCTATGTCTGCTACCTGTCGACTCTTCTTTGCTGCTTCACACACACCCCGCTGGAGAGCGGCGCAGACCGCTACAATATGTTTTCACTGTGTTTTTGTTTCACTTCCTGTCTGGCCCGATCTGAGCTACTGAGCTTGATGCGTTCTGGAAGCATAGTTCATAAAAAATAAACTGAAAGCATAAGCAACACGTCCTTATGTGTCTGGGTCGCTTCCACAACGCAGCACTTTGTGGTGAAAACACACCGGTTTGCTACAATGGCAACTAAATGCTGTGGAAAGGCCCGGAAAGAGTTGAGAGGTTTGGAAGTGGGTTTCTATAAAGGTGTACAGAAAATGGACATGTTAATGATAACTCTTTGAAAAGTTCTGAGAACTGGAGATTAGTTCTTACTGGACAGGCAAGCTAACAGCTAGCCACAGACAAACAAACAGCTGCCATCTTAAATTTACTTAACTCTAAGATTTTGTGGCAAATTATACAAATGCAAATTTAAAAAGCAGTTGGAGCCAACATTTTACACATATTTGGCGAGCCATCACAGCCACAAGACGCGGTTATTCTAGCATTTTTTTACATTCTTGCAAGAAATGCTCCAGTTTGCACCATAAATCCTGCACCTAGCTGCTACTGCTGCTTTCTCTAGTTGCAAATAATACGATTTCTTTCATTTAAATCAGCCAGTGGCGGGAAGGCCAAACAGGAGAAATGAATGATCATAGTCAACATGTAGAGAGTTGCAATAGTCCCAAGTGAGAGTCCATAAAAGCATGAATCAAATTTTCCACATCTCTCATGAGAACATGCAGCTTTTCTTTGGATTTTCTGTCTCTTTAGCAGAAATGCTGCCTCGAAGCATAATGTTTCCACCCCCATGCTTCACATTGGGTTTAGTGTTTGTGGGATGCAACTCGAGGGCTGTGCAGTGGCGCAGTGGCTAGAGCTGTTGCCTTGCAGCAAGAAGGTCCTGGGTTCGCTTCCCGGCCTGGGAAGTTTGCATGTTCTCCCTGTGCATGTGTGGGTTCTCTCCGGGTACTCCGGCTTCCTCCCACAGTCCAAAAACATGACTGTTAGGTTGATTGGTCTGTCCAAATTGTCCTTAGGTGTGTGCGTGTACATGATTGTGTGTCTCTGTGTTGCCCTGCGATGGACTGGCTCTCTGTCCAGGGTGTACCCCGCCTGATTGCCCGTTGACTGCTGGAGATAGGCACCAGCCCCCCCACCCCGACCCCATGTGGACAAAGCGGGTTCAGAAAATGGACGGATGGATGGATGAGATGCAACTCAGTATTCTTCCCCTTTCAAATACGGCAAGTTGGGTTTATACCAAAGAGTTATTTTTCGGTCTCATCCGACCTCTTTCATCTATTTAAGTGGGACAGCTCGCATAATGAGTGGCTGCCAGAGACTTTTTTGTCCCACTTTTTCAGAAGCTGTTGGTGGTTTGGCGATTGTACATAACAAACAATAAACTACAAAAAGTTTAAATATAATATAATGTATATTCTCACCCTGAGGGAGCCTCTCTGGCACAGCTCAAACACCCCAAACACGCCGTACTCAAACTTCACGGTGCCATAAAACTTGGTCAGGTTGTAGTAATCAATCCTCAGCAGCTGGAACATGAAACCACACAAAAGTGGAGATAATGTACAAACATAATTTATATAGATAATTTATTTAAATTCTCAGGAGAAAGCAAAAGCATCTTACAGTGTTTAGCTCAGTTTTCTGCTCTGCAGAGAAATCTTCATCAGTGTGTATCAGCTCTTTCAGGATGACAGGCTGGAGAGTAGAGCAGGCCGAGATTAAATCCTTCATGTTGTTTCATCAACTAAATGTTTTTATGTTTAGAGTGTTTTCATTGTCATAGTGCTACCTTCTTATCATAGCAGCCTCTGTGAGTTAGGTAGGTACTGTCTCTCCTTTTAACTTCATCAATCTGTTCCAGAAACACAACAGAAGACATGTCAAAGCCCACAGCACCTGTGTTTGATGTATGATGAATAAAACACCCAAAAATGTCACGTATCTGTTATTCTCAAAGCTCAAATTATACGATTATGTTGCATCTATTTTCTCTCAGTTCTATCTCTATTTTACAAAAGCAACTGATTTGGACTCTGATGGGACCCGGTTTGTGGCAAAGACGCTGGTTTCCTTTTACTTTGTTTAATGCACACATTTTTTTTAAAGAACCCAGAAGCACCTGGATCAGCACGGACAAGTCTGCTGCAGCAGAGAGTAGCAGCAGACAGCAGAATCTCCTGATATTTGGGCATCTTGTCTCTTGGATAACAGCAACACAACTCTACCACTGACTCTGTTTGCTCTGCAACATGGATGTTTTATCTCCACAAATAACACAAGCCTGGAGGAGCTTCTGCTGTGTGGTTGTGACCCCTGCTTTCCACGGGAGCCATCAGCAGCACGTTACTGCAGCAGCACGTCTTGCTTGCATAAACTGCTGCTTGGCCCTTCCCACGAGATGCGAAGCAGCAGGGGAGCAGCTGTCACCGACCGAGCACGAAGTCACACGAGTGACTTCGTCAGTAAACACAACAACAAGCAGGAGAAAACTACAACATGGCTCCAAAAGGTACAGGTGTTTTATGTTCTGTCTGTTTTATAATCGCCAATACGGACCTGAAAAACAAAGGAGACCGCTAGCGAGGTGATAACTTATAACGGGGCCGCACATTTAGTAACTTCTTTTAAAAGTAAAGCAACTGGAAGGCAGTACGTTTCTTTATTATCTCGGGAGCTTCTCTTCATTTCCGCGTCCGATTTCCTGTCTTTCCTTCCCCAAAAATGTTGTACTTGACCCGTTTCAGAGGCGTCACGCGTAGAAAATAGAACCGGCGCGTAAAGGCCGCGACATGCTGCTCCTGAGACGCGGCCGACTCGCGCTGCTGACGGCTCCAGTGGAAAAGGTTCTGTTGACCACAGCGGTTCCTATCAGCAGCTATGACGTGCTGCTGCAGTAACGTGCTGCTGACGGCTCCTGTGGAAAGCCGGGGTTAGGCTAATGCTAATGGTTAGCTTCTGCTAGCCGCGGCATTCAATGCTGTTTCCTGGACACTAAAACAACAATTGAGTTTATTTTTTATAGCATCAAATCAATACCAACACTGTTATATCTCTGATTTGTTTTATCCCCGAGTGTTTGGTCTCTCGTGTTTTGAAAATCAGCTGATAATCTTTAAATCCTGCTGAGTGAATCGGGCCTGATGCTGTGAAAGAGCAGTGGGAGGGATAAAATATCAACAGCTGAGACAGCTTCACTAACATTGTAAAAAACTGAAAACTATTCTGCAGCTTGTTGGAGATAAACAACAGCATCATCAGCATATGTCTGAAACATTACATAATGATGGCGGTTCTCACCCTCAACGAGACCTCCCTCTCATCAAGAGGTCCAATCAGATGCGGATCGATGTGGGACCACTTCTTCTGCATAAGACGCTCCTTCCTGTTTTGCCTGATAAATGTTCAAGTGCATATAAAAACATGGGAAAATTGTAAACTGGGTCATATTGCGTGTAATGAAAAATAACCTAAATAAATCTGACTCTTGAAACTTTTGTTCTTGAAACTTTCTTGGATTTTCGTGTTTTTCCTCGTAAGTATTTTAACGATGAGACTTTACTCTGACAGAGAAAATATTTGTAGTCGTTTTTAAAAATGTGTTTGTTTATTGCTGTGAAGACTGTTTTCTATTTGATTCAATGATGCTAAAATGCTAAATGTTGCTGTTGTTTACCTGTAGAAGATGAGAGCGATGGCTGTTACCACGACAACGCTAACACCCAAAACAATCACAATGATATCCTGTGTAGATATTTCTGAAAAGAACATATGCAATTACATTATTAGAAAAAGTAACAAAACCTGAGAGAGATTCCTGCTTAACTAATAGATTTTTTGTGTAAAGAGGTCCTTCGCTCATATTTTGAATACATTTTCAGTGGTCTGTAGTAGGGGGAAAAGGTCAGATGCTTCAGTTTCAGGAAGTAGAAGTCAGCTGGAGGAGAAAGTAGCTTCAGACGGCAGGATTTTGAGTCTGATAGTTGGACATCACCTCGGATTGGCTAACAGCAACATGACTCTACCACTGACTCCACAAATAACACAAGCCTGGAGGAGTTCTGCTGTGTTGTGGAGTTGCTAATGCTAACAGTTAGCTTCTACTAGTCGGGAAGTTTTCTGCTGCTTCCTGGACGCTGAAACCAACAACAGCTTTCCCCATCGTAAGTCATTGTGAGTCCCCCCATTGATGAGTCAAGCGACAGCTTGAGTGGTGAAGTCCTAGATTTTTATCATCTATTTTCTATCAGAAGTTAATGCAGGAAATAGGTGTAGGAGACTATTTTCACATTCAGCCTGCATGAAAACTCGGAGAGACCGATCCTTTTCAAACATAAGAAGTAAAAATGGTTTCTCAGACTTCTTCAAGACGTTTTTACTGGTGAAAATTCACTATGAAACCAGTGTTACTGGGTTGTTATTGCTAACGAAAACATTGGAGAAACACGGTTGCAAAAAAATCTGCTAATTCCTGGTTGAGATCAAACTGAATTAGGAAGTAAGACACTTTTGTTTGCATGGTGCATATCATGTTACCAAAAATGGCATATTTATTTTGTTATTTGTAGTTTCCTTCCACAAGTCTCCAACCCCTCATAAAACTGTCTCACATTCTCCTACTTAGAAAGTTGGGAAGGGGTCCAGGTGCTCAGGAACACTTCCTAATCATTTAAAGGGAAAACAGTAGTTTTTTGAATGTGTTTCAATCTCCAGCGGCAAGGCAGGAGGAACCTGCAACTCCTGCAAAGAAATCTGTAGCTTCTGTGAATTGTCCGACTTTGAGCACAGTAGTTTCTATTCTGAGCGGCTCTTAGATTGACCCAAACAGAGAATTTCTAACAGTTTTTTCAGACTTTGGTGTTCTCTACTGCAAAACATCTCCACACAACTCCTTACTTACTAAAACACCAGAACTATCTGTACAGATATTTCCTGACTTACGCCTGGATTTCGACACATTTTTAAAAGGTTCATTTAACATGTCTTACGATTAGATATTTCTGGCTCGTCTTTGGGAAGTTTGCCTCCTTTCCAGGGCAGGGCAGGGCTTGGATGTGTTGCTATGGTTTTATTTTGTGATGTATCAAACACTAGCAGAGTTTCGTACTGTAAAGAAACAACATATGTGAACAGAAAGAGCTTCTTTCTTTAACAAACTCTGCACCGACCGTTGAATGCTCAGCAGCCTCACCTTGCCAGTGTGAGTTGATGTGTAGATGAACGATAAGTTGATGTCTCTGTCACCGTACTCGTCGAGCTCATAGTGGCCTCCCATTCCTGCAAGCGTCAAACACACACACACACACTCAAAGAAGACTGAAACAAAATAAATACCTAAGGTTTTATTGATACGTAAAGAGTTCCAGTCAGCTTGAGTTAAATGGAAAAAATTAAATCAGATCATAAAACTAAAGTTATCAGGCTTTTATCAGGTGAGTCGATTTCCACACAACAGCAGGAGTGTTATTATTTACTTTTTCGAATTATAAGATTTATTGGTGCCCTTCCACAGTAAAGAAAACACTATAATCTCTGAAACTTGAACCAGATGAAGTTTCAGTGTCGTCTCTTGGCTTTTGATTCTTTGGTCCATGAATTATTTTGCACAGATAAAGAAAAGTGCTGTCATAAAAGAGACAGTTGCCTCATTTCAATATTTTGTGGCAGCAGCAAGCTCTGCACACAGCAAACTTTAAAGGGACTTTACAGAGTTTTGAATTTTTATGCTCGTGATTGCCCCCTCAGGCCAAAAGTGTAACGGCAGCTTCAATAGTAGGCTCGTGCACGAGGCGCGCATGCTGTACGTGCACACTCCTTAACGAAAATAACAGCTGAGACAGTCCCGTGTGTGTGTGTGTGTGTGTGTGTGTGTGTGTGTGTGTGTGTGTGTGTGTGTGTGTGTGTGTGTGTGTGTGTGTGTGTGTGTGTGTGTGTGTGTGTGTGTGTGTGTGTGGCCCGGAGGACAGAAGACAGGAGAACACGCAGCTAATTAATTAAATAATTTGGTTCTGTAGCTTTCTCTTCAGCACAGCCGACAAAGGTTTAAGATGGGTCAGTCCTCCTGCATGCTCAGATCATTCCCTTCCCTTGCTTGAAAAATTGTTCCAAAGTGAAAGTTGAACCCACATCTTTTTTATCTGTGAATTCAATGCCGTTCGGCAAGTCTCAAATAAAAATTTGGACATCTTACTGTAAAAAATATACCATTAATGTAAAAAATAAACTCTACATAAATTACAATCACATCCAGAACCAAACCCGGGTCTTTTGCACAACAGTCCGACATCTTACTAGGTGAGCTACAGTGCTAGTAATGTCTATTGTGTCTGTAACTTTTATATTCTTGTTGACAGCTTAAACAACGTTCAAAGGACGGTTCAGAGCGAAAATGGCTATTTTGTTGCTAATTTGCAGGAAATATCTAGAAGAAAGTTCTACAGAAAGTAGCTAAGGGTCCTCAGAAATGTAGCTAGGTTCGTCACTAGGCGTTAGGAACAGCAACAAAGTCACTGAGTTGGCACTACCTCTCTCTCTGCTGCTAAAGCTACGGATAGCAAATGCTACGGGCGATGCCTGAGCGTGAACGCGCATGAAGCAGCCTGCTCGACCCGAGCAGCTCTCTTTTTCTGTGATTTTACAGAAAAACAGGCAATCACAGTAAAAATGCCACGGCTCATTCTACAGGACCAGGGCATTGCAGGAGAATGTTAGCCTGGCAAGCCAGACTAAATAAATGTATTATTTAGTCTGGCCATGCTTCATTGACGGCTCTCGGTTGTGGGGCGGGTTCTACCGTTGTCTTTCAAATGATCTCCGCATTCCACTGGACAATGAATGTGACATCCTCTTGTTTCACTCTGTTGCATCATCCCACCCACCAGGCATATAGAGGGCCCTGATTGGCCCACAAAGCGGATAAAGCTCTGTGATTTGTTCACTAAGCAGATAGAGCACTATGATTGGCCCACCATTATGGACCATTCACAGCTCTTTATGTGTTTGAAACCCCTCTAGAGAGCTGTGATTGGCCAGCCAGAGTCCTGGTAGGAGCTGCTGATGTTCCAATGGAGCATGCCTAGACCATTCTTTGCAAAGCAAGAATTTGGTCTAGTTCACTAGGCTAGGAGAATGTATGAAGAAGAAATTTATTATTTCTATACATGTTTTGGCTGTCAAACTTCCATAATGCCCCTTTAAATATTGCATTAAATACTTTTGTTCTATGGTCCACACAGAACATGTTGAAGTTTTCCGTACCAAATCCGTCTCACGTAAAGCGATTTCACATTTTATTTATTCTTGACATTTTCAGTACCTTCCAGAATGAGCTGTTGCGGGGCCACGCCCACTCATCCCTTGAATGGCTGCTCTTAGGTGGGGAGCACAAATTTCTGAGAGGGGCTTGGGCTTGTCCCGTCAGCAGTCTCTACAGCCAATCATCTGTCCCCATTTGGTCTCCCCATTTGGTCCCATCTTCAGCATCCTTCTAATCTCACATCAACTAACTTCATTTCCTCTTTCATCACATCCATAAATCTCTTTTTTGATCTACCTCTCAGTCTCCTGCCTGGTAGCTCCAAACTCAGCATCCTTCTACCTTATTGTCTTAATTCTATATCTCACTCTGCTAATCTTACTCACCATCTAAAGACTGGTTTCCAAAAGGGTTGTCACCCAGAGGCACGAAGACTGAGTCCTCATTGCGTAGCTGGCCGAGCATCCTCTGTCTGAGCACTTTACCAAACAGCAGCGCCCCATCGTGATATCCAGCCACATAGTCATTGATCTTTTTATTGCATTAGTTAAAAAAAGGGAAAAATACTTCAGTTTTGCGATAACCCTCCCACTGTCTTCATGGGTGACCACGCCAGGAAAGTTGGCCATTGAGTAGGATTGATGGTTTATCCCTTGGATCCATGTGGCAGGGGTGAGGAGTGAGCACCACCTCACCCCTGCCGCGTGGACCTCACACCGGTGGACCTGGCGGGGTCACACATGAAGACAGTGGGAGGGTTAAAACATGTTAAGTTGCATCAAGGTGGCATTTGTGTGTTTTTGAGAGGCTTACCGTGTCATTGTATGACAAGTTTGACCCACGGCTGAAGTTCCTCTGAGGCAGAGTGACCACCAGCACGTCCCGCATTTCCTCAGTGGATGTTGAGTTCACATAATAATCAGGACTAGGACCAAAATATGACACGTTGTAAACACCTCAGGTCTTTATGGTTTTAATACAACTTAAGCTTTGTGACAGCAGCGGTAAGGGAAGATGATCAAATCAGGTCTGAGCTCACTTGTAAAGATCCAGGAGGATGAACAAGGTGTCGGGGTGGATCTGGTGCACCTTCTGTTTGATTGAAATAATGTCACCAATGCCCCCACACAAAATGAAAACTAGAAGAAATCAATCATTTAGAAAATAAATAAGATGAGAAAAACATCTGAGTTAACAATAGTAGTTATTGCTAAGATGAGGCTGTAGAAGTTTGTCACAAACTGGCCTCCAGGGCTCTGAGTTACATTTGAATTCAAAGGAAAGGACTAATTTGCTTCTGCACTGGAGTTGACAGGCAGGGAGAAACTAGACATACAGCACACACACACACAGGGAAAGAGAGGGATAGGGGAACTGAGGGACAACAGTACACGTATTTGTTAAGTAATTTATGTGTCCAGTTGTAAAACAACACAGGACAGGGTTTACCACTTAAATTTAGTCCCGTGTTGAATTTTGTTGTGAATTTGTCTCCAACAACATTGAGCCTTAAAGCATCTAGTTAAGCTATTAGAGTTAGTGCCTTCATCCTAAACCTTGTCAACTGATCTTCACCAACAACATGGCTTTTGTAAGAACCAGTGGTGATTTTCAAAGACTGGAGTGTAATCTTGACCATGTACAGACACATTGCTTAGTCCATCAGAAATGTCATAACTGTTGTTTGTTTCACAGAACTGAGGTTGTTCATCTACACTGGTGAGAAATCAACCGTCTCTAACTTTTCCAGAGTCATAGCCAATGAGCACAATGTTGAGGGCGCTATAGATTACTTTTTAAATTCCTCAAACTGATGCATGAACATAAATTATTGCTAACATAATTTCCCCTCATATTCAATGTTTTTATGTATTCAGTCATTAGTGCCACTTTATACTACTGGTGTGGCCAAGTTTCACTCTAAACCACTTTGTGGAGGGCTGAAATTATGTAGGCACTAAGGGGAGGCCCACTCTCATAAAGGGGTGATGGGCTCTCCCGAAAGCAATTAGACCCCCCCCCCCCCCCACCACCACCACACACACACACACACACACACTCACTCACCCGCATACGCACACACACACACACACACGTGCTTTTCCAGGATGCTGGATGCAACCCCTTCCCCTTGCTCTCATGGAGCTTCCCCAGAAGCCTGTGTGTAATTCGAACCCTGACTATTATGGCGCGGTATGGGGGCCAAAATTAAGACTACTGCCCTGCTGCAGGAGGCTGTGTATATTCTGAAGCAAACTACTGATCTGATTAACGATAAGCTGGCGCCGGTAACTGAGAGGCTGGCGCTGCTTACTGAGGAATAGCACCTTTACCGGCGTTACTACTAGATATGCTAGGGACTAGCATCCCTCGGCTGGTCATTGACTGGTTCACACACTCCCTCTGCTGTCTATTAGCATGGATAGGCTAGCGTTAGCCTGGACCGACTGGTGTTAGCATTGGAGAGACTAGCCATTAGCGTGCCTAGGCTGGCCACTAGCTGGATTTCCTACCTCCTCGACAGACCATTAGCATGGATAGGCTGGTGTTAGCATCGGAGAGGCTGGCCATTAGCGTGCCTAGGCATGCCACTAGCTGGATTTCCTACCCCCTTGACGGACCTTAAGCATGGATAGGCTGGCATCAGCATCGGAGAGGCTAGTCATTAGCATGTCTCGGAGAGTCACTAGTCAGCTAGTGGCCAGCCTAGGCACGCTAATGGCTAGCCTTTCCAATGCTAACACCAGCCCGTCCAGGCTAACGCTAGCCTATCCATGCTAATAGACAGCAGAGGGAGTGTGTGAACCAGTCAATGACCAGCCGAGGGCTGCTAGGCCCTGGCGTATCTTGTAGTAACGCCGGTAAAGGTGCTATTCCTCAGTAAGCAGCGCCAGCCTCTCAGTTACCAGCGCCAGCTTATCATTAATCAGATCAGTAGTTTGCTTTGGAATTTATATAGCCTCCTGCTGCTGGGCAGTAGTCTTAACTTTGGCCCCCATACCGCGCCATAACACTATGGGGTTAAGTCCGTGTGGTCACCACCTTTATTTAGAGTAAATTATAAATTAGTATTTGTAATCATTTAAAAGCCTACTGTTGCTTTTTCTCTTTGAAGCCTGCAGGACCTTCTTCAGGTCGTCCTCGCCGCGCAGCATCTCTCTGTCTAAATTTGAAGCAAACCTGGCAGAAGGTGCTTCAAATGCATTGATGTACCTGTGGAAGAAGCAAAGCACTGATGGCGGCAGACCACAGAACAAAGGTCACACGGGTTGATTTGTGCCATGGCTCACCAGTAGCAGTCCTCAGTTGTATTGCTAGCCTTTTTGTAGACATAGAAATGTTCCCACTTCGGCTTAAATGGCAGTTCTTCATTCTTAAAGTTCAGGAATAAGTCAGTGAGCTTTCGGGCTGGAGGTAAAAGGCGAGTGAGTTTTGGTTTGTAGTCACACGAGAGGCCAAAGCTCCCAGCAGAGATGATAGGAATGCTCAGGCTCAAGCCGATGACTTCACTGTGGGACGGTAAAGAGATTTTCAGAGAATCGACATAATAAGCAGAAAGTAGAGCACAAAGTCACTTCTACTTACTCTACTAACTGGAAGGTGGCAAAAGTACAGGAAGGGCCCAGCATAACACATCCTACCTCTCCCATGCTCTGAAACACAGATTCAAGGCTTTCTCTTTTTTTGTTATTATAAACAGGTTTTAAAATATGGGGTGCCATTTGTAAAGTCAAACAGTCATAATCTAACAGCAATATTTTTGGTTATTTAGCATATCATAAGAGAAAAAATTGGGAGTTCACTTTATCGAAGTCTTATTTTCATCATGTTATTCATACATTTATAAATGTTAAAGTTTCCAAATAAATATTTAGTTAGCAAGCTAAATATTGAATTTGTAGTTAAATATTTATTTTGAAAACTAAATATTTAGGTCTGATCTAAATATTTAGCTTGTAAAATAAAAATTTAATTCACTAACTAAATATTTAATTTACTAATTAAATATTTATTTTGCAACTAAATATTTAATTTGTAAATTAAATATTTATTTTTCGAAAAAATATTTAGATCCCAGCTAAATATTTATTTTGGAGCTAAACATTTAGTTTGCAAAATCAGTATTTGGGAAATAAATATTTAAGTCTGACCCAAAAAGATAAAATATAATGTGGAGCTAAATCGTGGAAAATAAATATTTAGCTGGTACTTAAACATTTAGCTAATATGCAAATTTGCTTGCCAATAAGCGGAAGTTGGTTACCAAAATAAATGCTGGATCTTGCTAACTTCTTTATGAACTCTTGCTCCGAACCAGAACTTGTTTTATCTCTGGTTCTATTCTTCTGAACATGTCCGACGTGTTGGCTGAAGAAGAATAGAACCGGAGATAAAACAAGTTCAAGCTGCATCAAATCATAGACCACTGCCAGGGCTCTACTAAATACTAAATAACACGGGTAACATTGACACAATAACTGAACACTTCAACATAATTATCTACATTTTAAAAGCTCTTATTCACTCATTACTTCAGTACGTGTGCAGTGGTCTCTGGTATAAACAGTGTTGGGAACGTTACTTTAAAAAAGTAATTAGTTATAGTTACTGATTACTTTGTCAAAAAAGTTACTCAGTTACTAACTGAGTTACAAGATCATAAAAGTAACTAATTACCAACAAAAGTAACTACTTAGTTACTTTTTTCATTAAAGAATGCAAGAATTACTACAATAGTAAAATATAAATGACTAATGACTGGAACATAATAAAATGTATGTCCAAATGTTTTATATAAACCTGAATAAGTTAAACAAATAAGCACTTAACAGGAGGAACTACTAACAGGAGCATTACACTAATCTAGACTATTAAAAGGTCACTGTGTGATATTTAACAAAAACCCAATCAGCTAAAATTTAAAATTGCAAAAAGAAACACCTGTAAAGGTTCCCGAGCCTTTAAATGGTCTCTCAGTCTAGTTAAATTACAGAAATAAATGTAATTTTGCACAGCATTCTAATTTTTCCAGCTTCACATAATTGTGTGTTTTTAGGTGCATTTCTGTTGCTGCTAATCTAGTAATGGTTAAATAAATAAATAAAATCCTTTAAAATGACACTAGAAGAGGCACAAGCCTGATGGAGGACTTAAATGTACTAACTTGGGTCAGACCCAACCACAGAAGAGCTGAAGCTGGGTGGTAAACACACACAGGTAGTTCTAATAACACCTGAGCTCCATGACGTTTGAGACTGATGCATCAGTGTTACAGCGGGACTAAAGACATGATCAGAAACAGGTTACAGCTGGATGATCTAGGAAGGTAGAAGATCAGGACGTCTGAGCGGTGAACAGGTGAGCGGACCTTCGGGACGTCCCGCTGTCATGCTAAGGGCACGGCTGCAGATCCGCAGATTCGCTGCTGCACGCATTTCCTTATCAGTAACAGGAACGAGGTTTTGATAAAAGAAGACGTAATTAATTAGTTTGCTCGTTACAGAAAGAAATATTTTTTATTAACGCGGTTATTTTAAACGGAGTTATTCCCGTTGTGTCTACAGAATGCAGCGACTGAGACCGTGAGGGTCTCCGCCCACCCGGCCAATCATCATCGTGTTTGTAAGTGTGTTACCGACACCTCTCTCTCCCTGGCTGCAGCTGAAGTGTGGCGGTCAGAAAGCCTCACGCTGCTGCTCAACGTTCTACAAGCACATAGTAACGCACAACGTTCCGTCCCCAGTAACGGTAACGGCGTTGCAACGGCGGGAAAAGTAATTAATTAGATTATTCCGTTACCTATAAAAGAACGCCGTTAGAAACGCCGTTATACTTAAACGGCGTTACTCCCAACACTGGGTATAAATGAATGTCTTGTGAGCTTGTGGGAAGAACGCTCTGGCGCTCTTGTTTCAGGAAATAGAAGTTAGCTGGAGGAGAGGTGAGCAGAAAACAGCAGGATTTGTCTTACTTAATTATGCCATATTTGGACATCTCACCTCTGATTGGCTAACAGCAACACAACTCTACCACTGACTCAGTTTGCTCTGCAACGTTGATGTTTCATCTCCACACATAACTCAAGCCTGGAGGAATTCTGCCATGCTGTAGAGTTGCTAATGCTAACAGTTAGCTTCTATAGCTGAAACGAGCTCTGTTCACTCCTGGATGCAAAAATCAACAACAGCCAGCCCATCTCGCGAGCCAAGATGGGTGACTCAGTGAATGCTAATTTACAGCATTCACTGACCCTAACCCTGTGAGGACTCTGGTTCACTAAATCTGAATAAAACGTTTTAATGAATCCCTTTGAGCAAGTTGTTTCATTGACTTTTGTGTATTTATGCAAACTTACGTGCAGCATCTTGAGTATCGCCACGCCTTCACACGTGCTGCTCCCACAGCCCTGCCTGTTGTACACGGTGGTGTTGAACCAGTTGTAGTTTGCAGACAATGTGAAAGTCAAGTCTTGAGCCACAGAAACAAAGATATTAGTGATTAACACAAAAAAACATTAATTTATAACGTGGAAGCATTTCCAAAAAAACCAGATTTTAGTAAACGGATTACCTGGAAATATTTTTCTGATCTAATTATATTTTGATAGATATTTAGCTAATAAAAAGTACACACACTGTCCGTAAACTGCAATCTTAATACAATCCTCCTTTTTACAGCATTAGTTAATAAAAAATAATGATGGTTCCCTCGCTGTGCTTTTTCCTTATAACTCACATTTGTTCTTTTTCTTCACTTTTAAATGATTCTGTTGTTGATTTTTATTTGAGAATAAACCCTACATGTCTGCCAGGCTCTTTACCTTCTGTAGGTAGATTCTGTGTTATATGGATTAGGTTAACACATTTAATATATAAACATAATTCTCATATGATTCTGAAATTCATTCTGAATTCTAAAATTAGATTTGATTTTTGTCCTTCTCTGTGAATCACAATAGTTCAGATGCATGAAGACCATCTGTACCTTGGTTTGTAAGCCATTTCATCTTTCATCAAATTAAAAATACATATTTACTGCATTTTTGTTGATTTCGGGCAATAATGATTATATTTCATTGTAAGAAAATATATAGCAAAGATTCATATAATTTTAATGGCATAACGATTCATGATGGCAATGTTTATGTTATGGTGAGTGTTGGTGGACCCATTTGCAGGCGAGTTGCTCAGAGGCAGCAAAATCAAATCAAACTTTATTTAAACAGCACTTTTCATGCAAAGCAAGCAGCACAAAGTGCTTAACAGATTAAAATGACCCATATAACACACATTCCCACACTTAAAACAGTTATGACCACAAACCATTCCCACGCCCACGCACACACACACACACACACACACACACACCACATTAAAAGACCACAGTAAACACTAGGCTGAGCTCAGATTGGACAGGTAATGAAAGACATGCCATCAAGGGAGCCATCTGCCTCGACAGCAGCAGATCCACGGCAGCAGCCAAGACACCAATCCAGAGCGCCCTGGGAGGGAGGGTGGCAACCCCCACCACTACCTGGGCACTACCCAAGGAGCGCCCCAGCCGCCCCCACCGACCACCGGTCCCGAGGCAGAGGGCTCCACAGAGGAAACACTGGAAGGATTAAAATACGTAGCATGTAAAATCACAAGAGCTAATATGGATAGTAAAATATCCAATAAAATATGATTATATAAATAAAACAACATTAATGTGTAACACAACAGTAATTAAAAGAAATAATTAAGTAAAACCAGCAATGCAATAAATAGCAATCAGTTAAAAGCTAAACTAAAAAGGTGGGTCTTGAGCCTGATCTTAAAAACATGAACGTTCTCGGCGACCTTGAGATCCTCCAGCAGCCTGTTCCAGAGGCGAGGGCTATAATAACTAAAAGACGCCTCGCCTTGCCTCGCCGTGACGTGACGTGAGTGTGAGTCCTGACTTTAGGAATGACAAGGAGATGGCTGCCAGAGGAGAGCAGGGACCGCGAGGGTTCATATGGTGAAAGCAGTTGCGAGAGATAAGATGGGCCAATACCATTAAGACACTTAAAAACCATTAAAACTATCTTTAAATCCATCCTGAAACTTACGGGGAGCCAATGCCGTGATTCTAAAACCAGAGTGATGTGATAAAAGCATCAGCAGCTCTGTACTGGCCCAAGAGAGAATGGGGCAGACTCTGGTGATGTTCTTGAGATGATAAAAACCTATTTTACGTATAAAATACTTAAATCCATTCATTGCAGGGATTTGGGAGTGCAGAAACAACAGGAACCGACGCACATCGACATGGACAACCGATGAACCGACACCAGACACAGGACTGACAGGGTCGAAAAACACTGGGAGCAGGTGACCAGGTTAACAAGAGGCAGGTGCAACTAATTAAACACTAACAAGGGGAGACGAGGGCTGGGCAGCAGCACATGACAGTTTAAGGCCCTGTCCACACGTAGCCGGGGATCTGGCAAAACGTAGATATTTTTCTACGTTTTGGCCGGTCATTCACACAAAAACGGATCTTTTTAAAAACTCCGGCCAAAGTGAAGATCTGCGTTTTCTCCGTTTTGGGTGTCTGCGTGTGGACAGACAAAACCGGAGTTTTAAGGTCCGCAACGTCACTTTCCGCTACAAAAAAAATTTGCCGACATCACGTGTGCGACCTGTGTTTACACCAGCCGACAGCATGGATGCCCTCAGAGCTGCGCTCGCTTTATCAATTGTCCAAGCGCTTTCTGCTTGTTTGTTTTTGCAAGCGGAATTACTGCTCCTTGCGGAAGACCACAGGAAGACGAAAAGTTACGCTGACTGGATACAATTCGGGGGAAGTACTGCCGCCTACAGGTCTGGCATGTCCTTAACAACGTATTTATCCGGCTACGTGTGTCACGATCTGCCCCTGCCCGCCTGACTGTGTTCCTCTCCTGCCATGATTACCCTTATTGTTCTCACCTGTCCCTCGTTTACCTGCCCATGTTTCCCTAATTAGCCCTCTGTATTTATACCACCTGTTTTGCCCCTGTCCTTTGTCAGATCATTGTTGTTGTTTGTTGGTGTTGTTCCTGTTCATCCCATCCTGCCATTAAACCATTTTTACTTTATCCGAAGCCTGCATTTTTACCTCCTGCTCAGCTCATCCACACATGGTCCGCCGTCTCCACCTCCTACACCGTGACAACGTGTGGACAGGGTTTTTTTTTAAACGAGGTGGTGTGGATGCAAGTTTTGGGAGGGGCGGATATTCGTTTTTAGAAAAGCCCGGCTACGTGTGGACTAGGCCTAAGTTTCTACTGAAACATATTTTGTACATTTTTTTAAATTGTTATTTTTCTAGTTATGTTTGTTGACACAATAAGACGAAGGGACAGAAATGTCTTCTAAGTGGTTGATCTGCAAGCAAAAGTTTAAGTTTTCTCATGTTTTAATGATCATTTTAATTCATACAAACCAAACTGTGTGTGTGTGTGTGTGTGTGTGTGTGTGTGTGTGTGTGTGTGTGTGTGTGTGTGTGTGTGTGTGTGTGTGTGTGTGTGTGTGTGTGTGTGTGTGTGTGTGTGTGGGAAATCAGCTCCTACTGTTGTTGATGTTCTCCTGTTTGTCCTTTTCGATGGCGTGTTCCACAGCTTTCTGCACAAACGGACGACTCCACTCGTAGGTGTTGTCCTCCAGCAGCACCACATTCATGGTGTACTTGGGGTTTGACTTCAAACATTCGTCCAGCATTTTGTTGGCCATCGCCACCATTATCAGCCCTCCCAGGTGGAGAAAACAATGCCAGCGATGCATTCCTGATCTTGGACACTTTTCCTTGTAACTGAAAAATCTGTGATTTCTCCACTTTCTACATGTCAGTGATGAAAAAGTCGGTTCGAATAAACTAGAAGCAATTTTTTTTATCTTGGTTTACCAGATTTAATCCGTTCCATCAAGAGGAAATATCCAAAAGCAGAAGTGAACGAAGCCTCTGAGTGACTAAGCAGAAGTTACTCTGCCTCTTGATTTACCATCCAGCATCCAGGTTGGACCAAGCGAGATTTTCTCTGAGGTTTTTACTGGAAACACTTTCTTCAAATTAAAAAAAAAAAAGGTGGATGAAAGAAAAAGAAAAAAGAAATCTGTTTTTAAGTGTTTTGTTCCAATGACATCAGTTCTGGCTCCTGATTCCGACTGCTCCACCTGTCTTCAATGGGTTAATGAACAACTGACAATCTGTGCACCAATCAGAGGAAGAGGTGCACAGAAGAAAAACTCCCACACTCCATCTGCACTGACACCTCACCTCGCCCAAGCCACGTGATTATCTTAATTCTCTTTAAAACACATCAAAACACCTATAACGATGTGTGCGACTGTTGGGAAGATGTTTGTTACACATAAACTCTCCTCTTCATTCATTGTTTTTTAAAAAATGAGCATGCATCTATTACATGTTCAGCTCTTATTTAGCCTTTTTTCCTACTCTGATTTGTTCCAGGGGCTCATCTTAAGCTGAGGGGGAGGAAACCTCGTCTGACGAAAGAGGCAAAGGTCACAGGAGGCCATAAAAGTGAGGGTTGTAAACGCTGGGTGGATTTAGCCTGTAAAAGTCCACTCATAAACCATCGTTACCGCTTTTCAGAAAAACTGTTTTAATGCTGTCCAACTCTAAAACCAAGTCAGTGCTTCAGGTAGAAAAGGCCACGTTACTGAGAAGTGCACCGGAACCACCCCCACATCTTTAATCATTCAAATGTAAAAGTTAAAGGTAGATCACTAAAACAAGAATTAAAATAGCTTTATTTATTATTCTCAGCATTAAGGCGTCCTGCACATATCAAACCATTAGGCATTTGTTATCTCACTCGTCGTGTTCTCTTTTCTCTGTTAAGTTCTTTAAATTGTTGATTGTCTAAAAACCCTCAGATGCCCAAAATTAAATAAGAATGAATGAAACTTCTTCAGTCTGGTGATGCTGTACTTCATCTTGAAGGAGCATAAAAACTCTAAATGAGTTACTTGTTTCCTAGTTTTTACTGAAGATGCTGGTTCAAAACTTTACATATTTATGGCTCACTAGAAAGAGTTTTCCCTTTATCTATGTGGGACAAAAAGATCCAGTCAGGGGTCTTAAAGGTGCACTAAACATAAGAGGGACAAAATAAAAAGTGCTATGCTGGCAATGTTTGAATGAAAAGTTGATCATAATTACATTCTATCATATGTTATATTTATGTTTTATAACCCTTATTTACCCAAATGTGTAAAAAGTGCTAAAACTCTTTCTTTTTTCATAGTTTTTTTTTCATGGTGTGGAAAATGTAATCGTTGATTTTAGACACTCTTTTTTATGGTGGGATGTTTACACAACATACAACCTCAAAAAACTAGTAAACAATTTTGTGTGTGTGTGTGTGTTTTCATTATTCCACAGACAGGGTCAGAATTACACAAACAGCCTCTAGTAAATGCACACACTGTCGCTGATTTTGGTTAAATTTCCCAGGAAGCTCCACCTGGATCACATTTTATTGTATCCATCAACAAGCTTCTCCACAATCCTGGATTGCTAACTCCAGCCTTGTTTCGGGAATTATACCCTCCTTTTATAAACTTGCCGTGCTTCAACCACCATTGAAAAAATCCGGCCTAGACCCAACTGTCCTCGGGAACTTTCGCCCCATTTCAAAGCTCCCCTTCTTGTCAAAAGTGTTGGAAAAGGCTCTTTATAATCAAATTATGCCCCATCTGAACAATTTTGGGGTCTTGGATAAATTTCAGTCTGGTTTTAGACAATATCACAGCACAGAATCCGCTCACATCAGGGTTTTTAATTATATTATTTTAGCCACTGATTCCGGTTCCCATGTTGCTTTGGTGATGTTGGACCTCTCAGCTGCATTTGACACAGTTGACCATGACATTTTATTGTCCCGCCTTGAGAATTTGGTCGGCATTAAGGGATTTGCGCTTGACTGGTTCTGCTCCTACTTTGACAACAGGTCTATTAGAGTTAGAATGGACGACTGTTCATCTCCCTCTGCTGCTCTTCCTTGGGGCGTGCCACAGGGTTCTATCCTCGGCCTCCTTTTATTTCGCATTTATGTTCTTCCACTGGGACTAATCTTTAGGAAGTTTAACATTAACTTTCATCTTTAAGCGGTTGGAATACTCCAGTGCAATTCTGTTTGGCATTTCAACTCTGTTTGGCATTTCAAAAGCCGCATTATCTCGCCTTCAGCTGATACAAAATGCGACAACGACTTCTCTTGTTTTGTTCTTTGTGCTATGCTCTAGCTGTTTTATTCTTTTATATTATTCGTTCAACGTTATATGTTTTTACCCCTGTACAGCACTTTGTTCAGCTCACATGCTGTTTTTAAATGTGCTTTATCAAATAAATGGAATGGAATGGATGAATATTTGATCTGTCTTCTGGGCAGAATTGTTATAGTTTATTTATTTTAGTTGGCTTTCAAGTAAAAACACATCTTTAAATTTCCACAAGCTTGAGGTTGAGATTATTGAAAGGCCATTCCAGAAGCTTAAAGAATAACCATTTTTTTTACTAAACGGTCGCTCTAAGTTTCACACGCAGGCTAAACGTGAAAATAGTCTTTTCCTATTTCCTGCATTAGTTGTGATAGAAATAGATGGGCAAACACTCGGGTTAGAAAAGCAAGTGAGATCAATGTCACACTGAAATTTAACATTCATGGACTCAACCATTTTGGTTCACAATGGGGAAGGCTGTTGTTGGTTTAGCATCCAGGAAACAGCAGAGCTGTTCTTGGCTAGAAGAAGCTAACTGTTCAGCTTACTCTTGCTCACTTCTACTTCCTGAAAGAGGAGCGCCAGAGTTTTTTCCCCACCGAAATCGCCACACAAGTCAATAATTTATACTGGGGACCACTGCAAATGTGTTGATAATCAATTGAACTTCGTGTTTGATGTTAACCTGCTTTATCCAATCAGCAACAAGTTCTGACCACCAGGTCAATGACCCTAAACACTCAAAACACTCAAATGTGCCCAGGTTTCATGACGCTACCACCACCATGCTTGACAAATGGTATGGTGTTCTTAGATAGGAAAGACTCACATTGACTCAATCAAACATGCCATGTGTTTTTGTTAAAGTTAGAGTCCCATAGGGAGCCTAAGTCACGCCCATCTACTTCCGGACCACGGGTCCCCGGAAGAATGAAAAAATGAATGCAAGTCAACAGGACTATTTTATAATTTCGCCTGTTATGTTCCATGGATTTCACATATGATGTTTGTGAATTTTAAAGAAGCTTTTTGATACCAAGAACTCGCTTAATTTCAAACAAGGGGAAACACTATTTTAGGTTTTGTGTGAAAATAAGTCCAGGACTACAAATGCGCTCACAAAAGTCACGTCATCGAACTAGACACAGAGAAAACAGAGGGGAAATAGCTGTAAGTTCAGCAAACTTCAAATCCTTCCTTCAGGAGGAAAGAACCATCATAAATCTGTCCATTTGGTAAGTAGCAGCTATGCTAGGGGAGAAGAGATTATGTGGTGTCGTCATATATGCGACGTGCCGATGTAGTCATGCTAATTACAAACTTTTACAAGATGATGAATCTCAAAAGTACGTGACTGACGTGGTCGAAACACCCTTCATTACTTTTCATTTAAAATACGGTAAAACATATGTGCGATCCAGGGTCTAAGGCTAAACGGATTAGAAAATAGCTCTTTTAGCCCCGTTGACTTGCATCCATTTATTCGTTCTTCTGGGGACCGGAAAGGGAGGAGATTTAGGCTCCCTATTAGTCGTCATCACTCACCGGTGAAATTCATTTCCGCATTTGACCCATCCCAGTGGGGAGCGGTGATCTGCAGCTGTGGCCACACTCGGGAACTATTTTCGTATGTATTACTAATTTGAATGAGTTTTGTATCAGATTTTCTGGAAAGTTTGTTGTTTTACCAATTCTACTGTTGATGGTTCTCTCAGTAAACCTACAAAACCACTAAGTTCTCAAGCTTTGCAACACCATCACATAAAGCAAACACATTTATGCTTCTGCTCACACATTTTCATGTCCGGCTGCCAGTTCAGAGAGTCGTAAATGTCCGAAACAAACACTCCCATGACGCAACAGCTCAACTGGCTCAGGCATCACTGTCATTTAGTCCCATTACATTTTTATGCGAAGGGGTTTTCTGTCTGTTTCAACATGGAAGACATAATAACAACACGTTAGAAATGAGACTCTTCATTTTATGGTTTTCTCTTGGTTGTTAAACAGGAGCTGAGCTGAGTCTGTTACTGCTGGCGTGGCCTAGCCTAACGACTCTGCATTATTCTCAGCTACAGCTACATCAAACTGTAGCTCAAAATCATTAAAAATGGCTGGTTTGTGTAGCCATTTTTCCATTTTCTAAGGTCTGCTGGCTTTAGCACCATACTTGAATTAAGTTGAATCTTTTAAAAAAAGCACTGAAGATAACCATGAGCCAGTCAGAAAATGCACGCTGTCACCATGAAATCAGCAGATTAAATGTATTGAATAAATTTTGAAAAATAAATTAGTCTGTCAATCAATAAATCAGGGAATACCAAATAAATCCAATGAATAGGATAACTTATATGGTATGAAGAGGTCCATCATAAGCCACAAATACATTAATAGTAACTGTCACATGTAAAAAAAACAAAGATGGATGACTGCAGGACCTTTGCTAGTTATCAGTCACATGAGAAATACTTCTCAGGACTAAGATGTTGGGACCATATATCCCTTTCTGCCATGAAAAGACTGAATATTTTAAGATTTTTTTTCTTGAAAATGATTTTTGATTCAGAACAAAGTACAACAGCAAGAATTTCCAGGAGGACTTGTGATTTAAAGTAAGTAACACTAGGGGCAGTGTAGAGTCAGACCAGAATGAATGTTAGACCCTAAAATAAGCCCCCACAATGCGAGTAAGGTCTAGCTGCGGACGTAGCCCCTGCCAAACACGCCCCTATGTGCAAAACATGCGTGCATGTACGAAGACGAGAACTCGCATACGTGTTGCAAGAGATGGAAATGACGGTTCAGGTAAAGACAGATTTATATTTTTACAACTTGCGAAGATTTTGTACTAGAAATCTGAACGTTTAAGACATAGTTTGATAGATAGCTCATTCGTAATTTTTTTCTGAAACACTTTTATATAAAATTAAGCATTATTGGCAGTGGGGGAAGA